TCTACCGTGTTCCATAGACCATTCCAAATGGACCTGGCGATGTCGACGCGTCAGGCAGATACGTATGCAAGGTCTTCTCGACCGCAAACTACGTTCATGCAGACTTCTACGTACCGTCTGCGTGGAAACAAGGACCCACGCAGCATTAGCAAGGTCATCTTGAGAAAACCTTGCACGACGTGCCTAAACGAACAAAAACCGATCCTGAGCTGGTGTTGTGACCCTTCGCCGACCTCCAGCATGCCTCCTGGCGGCGGGTGTACCATGTAGCCGGTATCTCTCCCAGGCTCAGGTGATGTCGGTATTGTGAACACCAAGCGCCGCACCAACCTGGCGGAAGATGGCCCCCTGCTGCACCATCCCTACAGCCCTCAGTAAAAATCTGGAAACAAAGTGATCACCTGTACAATCAGGGATGTTTTATTTCCGGTAATTAAAGATCGATCAGCAAATTCTTGTTGTCCTTGTGGTATTTTGGTTCTTTCTATTCGGTTATTTTCTTATTGGGTGGGTCCAGTATTCCTCTCTTGAATACTGTTTAATCAACCCTAGGATATGTGGCCTGCTTTTTAAAGTTGTCTTTAGACGTATTATCTGCGATATGCAGGCTTCATAATCTGTAATCCCCTTTCAAAATTCCATTTTATTTAGTTTCGCCCATTGTTTTCTCGTTTAGGGCACATGATTATTTTTTACTAGGGGACCATATGCCGTTTTTCATGGAATGGCACTTACGTGTCACATTGGATGTTCCATGATAACCGCCATATGAACACATCTTCGGATGTTTCAAAATTCAAAATTGTACCAGTTCATGTTAAATGATGAATTCTGCTTAAGCCGGTGCTAGGGGCGTGGACGGTAGTTTGCATTTAACATACCGTTCATGATCAGGCTCAATCAAACCGAGCCTGCAACATTTTCAATTATGCCCTGTTGGGCCTTCTTTAGGGATTCTTATTTTTCTCTATTTTTGGGATATTGTCTGAATATATTGTAACGGAATGAATCATATTTATATAAATATAAAACTTTTAATAGTCTGCAACTCTCTCGGGGAATTTTCCTTTTAACAGCGTACTTTAATATATTAAATTCGCCTCTTTTAGAACAGATTGAAGATATTTTATATTTCCATTACGTACATTTATATAACAATTTTAGCTATAATTTTTATTGTATACCTTATAACTGTGCACGCATACCCAGTTTGAACCCCAAGATAGAAATGTGGGAACATTATTATTTACATACAATGTTGTCATAAATATCTACGTTCGTTGTTCACTGGTAGAAATAACTTGAGAACACTCCCGGACTTCAGCATCAACGGTAACGCATCAAAATGTTTCTTTCCACAACTTTATCTCTAAAGATCCAAACATTGATATATTTTCTATTCTGAATATTCGTAAACGTAAATCCCGATCTCACGGAGTACGTAGAAATGGCAACATCAAACGTAAATCTAAAATTACCCTGTCTGTCACCGACTTAAATGTTATCTTAAAAAACTCTGGTAAACATGCAATGTTATCACGTCTTACTTCCCTTTCATTATCATCTCTGAAAATCTTAGACGTGGAGGCAGATAATATAGTTATTCAAATAGATCCTTTATATACAGCAGCTTATTCTTATTCAAAGTTATACTCAGCACGTCTTAAGACCTCATATCGACAACACTTCTGACCACAACAGGCATTTCCTAAAAGTAACCTTTCTTAATAAAAGGTATCGATTTTCATCGATTTACCAAGTATTTTTCGTGATAAACGTGTCACTAATTCAGTTCCTTTATACTTCAAAAACTCCGAGATACCAATTATTTGCTATAAATATAAGAAACCTGTTAGAAATATCATATTTAATTACAACAAAGTGGTTTCTGACTTAGATATTCAGTCTAATACTCCAACAACTTGAGACTGCAATACTTCTAAATTCTGTTATTCAGATTTTGGCCATATAATCACTGGTAATTTTGATATAATTACAGACAAAAGAATTCGTAACTTATTCTTGAAAGGACTAAATACAGAATTCCTTCTGAGATTGATTTTAATGCTTGTCGTGGTCAGATTGCTGAATCTATAGAGGATTTTTCGGTCAAATGGTGTCGCCGTGAAAATGCGGATAGTAATGCTCTAGTTACATGGAAACGTAACATCTTTAAAATTATTGATTCACGTATTAATTTTTTATCGTGGAAATGAACATCTTTTTGCCACCTAAACCAAGACTTACTTTAAGACATCTGAAAAAAGATATTCTAGCTTTTCATTCAAAATTTGTTTTGGTGCCAGCGGACACAGGCGGCTAATAATATTATAATTGTTTGACGAATCCATTACATTAACGTTTTGCATAAGGAACTAAATAGCACTAATGCGTATTCTAAAACCTCTGCCTCCGAAAAAGACATTGTAAACAATCATATTACTAATATTTCCAATCTTAAAGTCCAAATTAATGAAAAAGAACTCAAACTTCCTATTATGTATTGGATTCCTAAATTACATAAAAAACCTACAAAGCCAGATTTATTGCTAACTCTACATCTTGCACTACAAGTAAACTTTTCTATTTTTATTAACGTCTTGTTTGACTGCCATTAAAACACATGTAATTAGATATTTGTGATAAAGTCTATGAAAACACAGGCAAACATCTCTTTTGGTCAATTAAAAATTCTGGTGAAATCTTGGATAAATTCAAAATTAATAACTTTCAAGCTTCAACTGTCAGTACATACGATTTTTCTACACTTTATACAACTTTGCCACATAAATTAATCAATGATAAACTAATTTTCCCTAATTCAGAAAACTTTTGCACGGGAAAAAGTTACCTTTCTAGCATGTAATTCTAACAAAGCTTTTTTTACTAACGGTATTGTTAAACATTATACTATGTGGACCTGTGACGAAGTTTGTAGAGCACTCTCTTTTCTTTTAGACAACATTTATGTCAGGTTTGGTAATACCCTATTTAAACAGATCATAGGAATTCCTATGGGTACTAAATTGTGCACCCCTGGTCGCCGATTTGTTTTTGTACTGCTATGAAAGAGACTTTATGTTGAGTCTCTCTGAAGAGAAACAACAAGATGTTATAGTCGCATTTAATAATACTTCCAGATACCTTGATGATATTTTTTAATTTAGATAATCCTTATTTTGATCAAATGGTGTCTGACATTTATCCGCATGAACTACAACTTAATAAAACGAACTCTTGAAATTTTAGTACATCATTTTTGGATCTTCATATTACTATCAATAACAAATTCTATTCACAAGAAAATTTATGATAAAAGAGATGACTTTGACTTTTGTATAGTTAATTATCCACATTTGGATGGAGACGTACCCCATGCAACATCCTACGGGTTTATGTTTCTCAGTTAATTAGATTTGCTAGAGCTTGTAACAACGTAAAGGATTTCAACGAGCGGAATATTTTTATTACCAGCAAGCTTCTAAAACAGGGCTACCGCTATCATAAATTACGGAAATATTTTTACTAAATTTTACAATCGTAACTTTGATTTAATTTCTAAATTCAATAGTGATTTAAAAACTCTTCTGCGACAAGGGATTAGCCAGCCTGGTTTTTATGGCGATGTGGTTTACAAAACTTCGTAAGATTTTGGGTCATGGTAATTTTTCTGCTGTTTTTACTAAAATCATTAAACGTTTTTATTAAAAGAGGTTATGACCCTACTTTTTTAAGAAAATACGCATTTTTGTTTTCAACCCCTTTTTACATTGGACACTCCCTTTTCCTTTTTTGATTGCATCTAAACCGGAAACCAAGGGGGGAGACCCCTATAGGATTTTCCGTTAAACCCTTTTGGGCTGAATTGTTTTGTTGTCTTCTCCCTTCCTTCGTCGGGCCCTTTTAGGGGCTTTTTGGTTTTTTTCCTTTAAACCCTTGTTTTTTTTCCCTGGTCCTTTTTCCTTTTTTTTTTTAATTGGTTTTTTTTTTTTCCCCTCCCCAAAATGCCATTTTAGTTTTTTAAACTTATTTCCCCTTTTTGTAACCAATGAAAACTGTTAAAAATTTTCCACTTGGCGGGGATTCTTTTATTTACCCCTGTCCCTTTTAAGGGAAACATGGGGGGCCGTTTAAAGAGGGTTTTGGTGCCCTTTAAACCCGGGTTTAAAAAACCCCCCCCCACCCCAAGCATTATTATGCTGCGACCTTTTAAAGGGGCGCCCCACTGTGTTCCTCAGATGAAATGTCTATGTTGTTTCTTTACTTTTTTTGGGTGGACACTTTTGTTTTGTGCCCCTTTGCTTTTTTCCTCGTCTCCCGGTGTATTTCCCCATTCCCCTCTATTTTTTTAAATTTTTTTAAATTCCCCCCCCCTTCCCCCGGGCTCCTGCCCCCCCCCCTTTGGGGGGCCTATTTTTATTTTTTTTAAAAATTCTAATAATTAAAAATTTTTTTATTTTTTATTTGAAAAAGGTTTGTTCCCCTTTCCTTTTTATGTTGGGGTCCCCCGGGGCTCCTTGCATTTTGGTTTTTTGGGGCTGGGTCATATGGGGTTTGGGTTTCATTGAACCCCCCGCTTTCCTTGTTGATCTTGTTTTTCATATTTTAGTTACTAAGTGTAAAAGATAATGACATACAAGAAATAAATTCTGAACATCTTAAATGTTTAATACATTTAAGACACCTAAACCTCAATGGAAATATAATAACATTATTACCGAACAATTTCTTGTCAGCTTTGCTGAATATCGAGTCAATTGAAATAATGATACCGGGAACGAGATCTTTAATAGTGGAACCATTTGCCTTTAACTCGTCCTCACTCTTGTCACTTACACTACAATATCGTTACTCTGCTTTGTATGTTTTCCAGTCCTTGAATCAGACATTCAAGCTTTTGCTTAAGCTTGTTAAAATAAACATAGACGGAATTTCTATCTCGCGGTTAAGCAACAAAGAGATCGTTGGATTTTTTTCGCCGCTTCATACATTGAGACAACTGCAATGATTTAATTGTCTGATTTCGTGGGATCCAAAAATTATTTTGAACCTAATGAAACATTTAAGTAGAATTGACCTTCGGTCAAATATGATATCAAAATTAAGTAGTGAAACATTCAATGATAAGAAGAGCCTAAGATACTTGAACCTACGGTTTAACCAACTTGGTCATATAGATTCTACAGTTTTACCGATTTCTCTCCTTAATAAGTTGCACCATTTAGACATCAGCAAGAACCCATTTGTCTGTGACTGTAACCTGGAATGGTTTATTGCTTGGTTGCAATCAACACATAAACATGGAACGATTTTAAGATACACTATAGATTATATATGCAACCTTCCAAAAGAAAAAACGAGAAAGCGACTCTCTGACGTATCATTTACGTACAGAGAATGTCATCCCTGGAACACGTGGCTTTGGGTCGCTATCATTGCATCACCTTGTGTTATTGTAATTTGCATTATCATCATAGTTGTATATAGGAATCGATCGAACATTAAATATTATATCTATTTAATGCGAAAAAGACGAAACTACCAGTTAATTGAGGGAAATGATTTTGTATATGACGCTTTTGTTGGTTATGAATCGGTGGATTCAGCCTGGGTAAGCCGTCGACTGTTACCAGTACTAGAGGAAGAAATTGGCCTGAAATTATGCATTCATGAGAGAGATTTTCAGCTTGGTGTGTTTATAAACGACAATATTGTTACAAATATGGACAAAAGTAGGAAAGTAATACTTGTTCTTACCAATGCCTTTGCACGAAGCGGATGGTGTATGTTTGAATTGAAAATTGCACATTCTAATCAGATTGAAGAGGAAACAGAATTAGTGGTCATTTTGTTGGAGAAAATTGATGGACGAAATATGAATCATGCCTTGAAATGTCTTTTTGATTCAACAACGTACATTGAATGGACAGAGGGTTTGGTTGGTCAGGACTTGTTTTGGGAGCAATTGAAGACTGTTCTTGTAAAAAATGACAGTGTTTCTACTGCATGAACATATTTAAACAACCTTTTAAAGATAGTCATTGATTTTATCGATTTAATCGATTGTCATGTAGTCATTGCTGAGGGATCTTCCTTTTCCCGTATCTTATCTGTTTACCTTTAAAATAGAACTGTCGCACTTTCTTTTCTATTGCACAGATTGCATCTTCAACAATGTTGATCAGTGATGATAAAACATTTTCTCATTAAGCACAGGATATTTTATAATTAAACAATGTTTACTTACTGTGTAAAATGTTTGTGTTATACATGATACGTTCTTCCATAACCAGATTTAATATTCGCCGGATTGTCCGTTCGTTCGTGTGTCCGCTCAGACAGTAATAATGTGGCTAGAGGGACAATAGGTAACTGTTCTTTCTCTTTGATGTCATTCTTATGTGGCTATTTTCTTTTGTGTGGCTATAAAACAATAGAGAGAAAAATTGAGTAGCCGAATTATTACTGTACCATTAGAACATCCATACGTATGTCCGTCCGTATGACCATCCCTCCGTCCGTATTTTCTTGTCAGTTACATAACTATGAAACTACAAGGGGTATCAACCAGAAACTATGAAAGCAGATAGATCTCATTATTATTATTATGTTAAAGAGCAATGCTCAAGAACCGCAACTCTGACATGCCTTATTTTCGAGTTATTGACATTTTTCCATTTTTTAACTTTGAATTTTGTCCGAGAAATAACGTTGGAACTACAAGAGTTATCGAAATTAAACTTAGTAGGTAGATAAATCTAATTGAGTTAAATTGCAATGCATAAGAAATGGTCAGTTTAAAATTCTATATACATGTACTTTCTTCATTGCATATTTAAACAAATTTAAACTTTTCCTGCAACTACCCATAACAATATCTTTATTCTGGCTTTGGAAAACACTTTTTCTATGTGTCCAAAACCTATCCGAAGAACATCAGCCGACCGACTCTTGTATTACAAACGTGATAAAGACAACAAAATGTGTATTTGATTAAAATGCAATAAATATAACTGTCGATTTTTCTTTTATATTGCACACATTTATCTATCTACCTTATTTAGTGAATCTTCTACAATGTAAATCAATGATGGTAAAATATTTTCTATTATTAACCATCACAATGTTAGCATTAACGATATTTGTCGACAAAATTAACGACTTGATTAAAATGTTATAAACGATTTTTGATTTGATCAATTCAGTTGAAAATGTTACACATACGTGACTTAATCGATTTGTAAGCTTACAGTCGCAGCAGTAAGAATAGGAAATACACGAATTATTAAAGTATGTGCAATAAAATGATAAAACATGAGAGCGTTAGAGGTAAGCACTTTACACTAAACAAATTCAGTCAGACCTATTATGCAAATTTACCTTTCTCATGTTTACATCGATTGCACTTGATAGGTATGCACCTTTTCAGATATGTTTAGTTCATTTCACTCGGTATACTTTGAAATGCATCTAGTTTGATTTATAATATTAGAAAGATATATCAACCATTGGTGTGAGTAATAATTCTTTGCTCATTTGCTTATATTTTTAAAATTTGTACAACTTATTAAACTGGTATTATTGTATGCCGAAATATCAAATAATTTGACAGTACACTTATTTGGTTCTTTGGATTACTACCATTTGCAAATTTTTCGTTTAATGAAAACACAAACAATTAAAGTAGAAGAAATATGATAAAATTTCGAAAGAATCTTTTTAATTAGGTAAATGGCAAATTCATTACTTTCTAAAATGTTGCAATTTTGTACCAGTATTTTAATTACATCAAAGTGACTGTATGCTTTTTTATTGTCAAAGTTAGGTGAATTGACAATATATTTACAAAAATTTGGACCGTTATAATAGTGAGTACAAACAATTGATAATGAAAAATGTTAAAAGGATAAAACATAAATCCGCCTTAAATCTAAAACAACTGCCCCCACTCTTTACATAAATTAAAACGTTACAAGCAAATTCCGATGGATTAATTACTGAAAATTTCTTGGACAACCGAAGTTATTTAATTGTTCCCATGTAAAAAGAAAATTACGGCAAAATGGTATTATTATATTATTTTCACCTTGTTCACTCAATGTTATACCATTTTGATTTGCGTAACATTACTTTAATGGATACCACATCAAACACAGGTCCATCATAAATCGGGCTACCATAATCTCGAACAGAAAGGATACATATTTATAATGTTGATAAAATATTGATCAACCAAATCGAATCAAAAGTCGCCGGGACGTTCCAACTGACCCAACGAAACGGATTTTTTTTTTATTATACTTTATCAAGTGTCATTGTAATAAGAAATGATTCACAACAACAAGAAGCATGATTCATATCAGAATTACAGATGTTTTATATAATCCAAAACATCGTGGAGGGGTTTAAAGGAATGGCCTATTGTCTGTCAGTCAAGTCAGTCAGTCCGTTCTGTCCCGCCGTCTATAAATACCTTCGTGTCCGCCTCCATAACTATTGAACCGCTGATATTTTTTAAATAACTTGGCACAAATGATCACGATTATGAGACGATGTGCAGCCTGCAATAATTGGATTGCTTCCCCCAAAGGTCAAGTTCACGCTTTTAGGTCAATTGCCCAAAAAAATCTACATTTCGTGTCCGCTCTATAACTTCCAAACCACTGAAAAAAATTAAAATAACTAGGCACAAATGATCATCATTATGAGGCATTGTGCACAGCTCAATAATTAGGTTGCTATCCTTAAGTCAAGGTAACACTTAAAGTTTATTCTTTAAAGTCTTAATTTCGTGACAACTCCAAAGTTTTTCACTACTGAAAAAAATTGAAATAACTTAATAACTTAAAAGCAGAAAATATCACCATTTTAAGACGATGTGAAGACCGCATTAATAGGGTAGCTACCACCAAGGTCAAGGTCACACTTTAAGGACAAGTGTTAAAAGTCTACATTTCGTGTCCGCTCCATAGAATTTAAACTGATTACCATTATGACATCATGTGCAGGGCATAACATGTCGTGAATATCACGATATTATTAGATAATTTACTATTTACGCGGGAAAATATTTTATTTTCTGTTTTTGCTCCTTGCCATGAAATTCATTATTTTCATGTTATTTACAATTTAAATAAATGGCGGGAAAATTCTTTATATTTTGTAAACTCCTTGCCACGAGATTTGTGCTTTTTACGTTTTTCCTTAGGCTCATGGCGGGAATAGTAACTTGTATATAAAGGTTGTAGTTGTACGTAAGATTGTTAGAAGTGATAAAGGACTGTTAAGAAATACATTAAATGTTCGGATTAAGTTTTATAATAAATAACTTTGGAATTAAATGAGTTTAAAATAAAATGTTAAAATATTTTCGGTATTGGAGTTTTTTATTCTGTGGAAATAAGATGAATTAAATCAAATATCAGTGTGGAATGGGCATTATAATTCAGTCTTATATAAAGGAAACCTAAAAGTCCACCACATAACAATCAAGTCCCTACCTCACGGTCAATGTCACACTCAAGGATTCAATGTTAAAATATCTATATGTTTGTCCCCTTTATATGTTTCTGACCATTCAAAGGTTTTAAAATGTAATCACCTTCCGCAAATTTGGGAAGGAATTATAGGAATGGCCCCTGCTGTCAGTCCCTCCGTCCGTCTGTCTATATTTTCGTCCAAAACACTTTGTGTCCACTCCATAACATATAACATTTAAATCGCTGAAAAAGATTGAAATAACTTGGCACAAGTGATCAACAGTATGAGACGATGTGCAGAGCGTAATAACCTCAAAGTAAAGGTCACACTTAAAGGGCCAATGTTAAAAATCTATTTTTCATGTCCGCTCTATAACGTTGTAACAATGCAAAGGTTTTGAAATTTAAACCCCTTCCGCAAAGCGGGGAGAGAATTATAGGAATGACCTCCGTCCGTCTGTCTGTCCTTCCGTACGTAACACTTTTGTGTCCGCTCCATAACTTTTAATCCGCTGAAATTGTTTGGAAATAACTGATGCAAGTATGCACCATAATGAGACAATATGCAGAGCGCAATAATTGGGTTGCTTCCTCAAGGTCAAGGTTACACTTAAAGGTCAAGTGTTGAGAAAATTTAATTTTGGAAATTATTTAATTCAGTGGGTGAAACTTTTTTACACGAATATTACTAGTATAATAATCAATAACGGCCATATTTCAGAAACTTTTAATATAGAGAGAGGTGTGAGACAAGGATGTCCATTATCATCGTCCTTGTTTATTATATGTCTTTAAATATTGTCAAATTACATAGAAAATGATCGCGATATCAAGGGAATATATATTAAAGGAAAACAAATTAAACAAACTTTTTTTGCTGATGATGCATCTTTTAAAAATGATGGTACACAAATGTCATTTGAACGGCTTGTCTATGTCTTAAAGAATTTTAGTCTTATATCAGGTCTTAATCTGAATACTAGAAAATCAACAATATTAAGAATTGGATCACTTCGTAATACAAATACAATTTATTGTAAAAAACAATTTTAAATGGTCATCATAATCAGCAAAAACATTAGGAGTTTCTTTTTCAACAGATAACACAAATATATTAAAAAATAATCTTGAACCAAAACTTGAGGATTTCTACAACTGCTTGAAACAATGGCAACATAGAAAATTAACTTTGATGGGTAAGGTAACTGTTATCAAGACATTTGCACTACCAAAAGTAATATATCCTTTTGCGGTGTTAGAAAACCCGCCAGAATCAAAAATCAAGGAAATTGAAAATGCAATATTTCATTTCATTTGGAAGGAAAACCAGACAAAATTAAACGAAATTATTATAAAGCAAAGTTTTGAGAATGGGGGACTTAAACTTACAGACATATCATATTTTTTAAAATCGTTAAAAGCAAGTTGGATCAAAAGATACTTAGATAAAGAAAATCATAGCTTATGGAAATTATTTGTTAAGAATAAATTATTAAAGTATGGAAATGAACTTATTTTTTAATGTAACATTTCAAACAAGATGCTGATAATCTATTTCCACACAAAAGTTGAAATAAAAAGTACAGGCTTAACAAAAAATATCTCTTATAAAGACATTATTTGGAATAACTCGGATATAAAAATAGATGGTAAACTTGTATTTTATGAAAATTAGTTTATTAAAAGAATTAAATTCGTACAACACTTATATGATTACAGAACAGGAAAGTTTTATAGTTTCGAAGAATTTAAATATTTGTATGGCATCAATAATACAGATTTCTTAAAGTATTATATGCTTATTGGAAATATATCTGACACTCTTATCAACAAGTTAAAAAATGCTGAAATTAACACTGTTTCCTCGCAACCTTTTATACAAAATGTTATACAATCCAAATCTGTGAATAAACTTTTATATGATTTGCAAATGAAAAACGGAAAATGTCAAGGGAAAAAAGTAATGAAACTAAATGGGAAGAAAATATACAAAAGCATATTGACTGGAAAAAGATATATCAACTGCCTTATAAGAGCACATTAGATGTCACATTAAGAAATTTCCAGTTTAAATTCCTCCATAGAATTATACCGACTAATACTTTTCTCTTCACATGCAAACTGTCTGACACAAATTTGTGCGATTCTTTGTCATAATAGCATTGAAAATATTGACCACCTCTTCTGGGAATGTACGAAAATACAAAATATTTTGTCAATGCTACACAAGTGGCTAAATTCAATTGGAATTATGTTTAATCTTTCGAAAGAAATATTATTCTTTGGAGAACTTAAAATTAATCTGCATAGTAACATAATTAATTTCATTCTCATTCTAATGAAATATTACATTTTTAAGACAAAATATCAGAAATATACAGAAAGTTTTGAAATATTTAGAAAAATGTTATATAGTAAAATACAAATAGAAGAACAAATTGCTTTATCTAAAGATAAATTGAAAGCGCATAAGACAAAATGGAATATCCTCTGTAATATAAGAATTGTGGATTGAATCAATTGTAAAACAATGCAGAAACCATATCTATAAAGAAAACTAATAAGATTTGTATAAATCACTATATAAAAAGGGACAAAAACATTTTTTGTGCATGAGAGAGCGTGTGTGAGTGCATGTGTATGTATGTGTTGGTGCGTGTGTGCGTGTGTGCATATGTGTGAGTATGTGTATGTGTATTTGTATTTGTGTATGTATCTGTGTGAGATTGTTTTGTGTGTATGATTTACATTACTGTTAGAATTAAATAATTATTATAATGGAATATATTATGTTGAATACATGTATCAACAGTATGTTAACTGGAATGTTTTTGTAATTCATATATGAAAGAACATAATAAATGAAAAAAAAGGTCAAGTGTTAAAAAGTCAACATTTGGTGTCTGCTCGATGACAATTAAAATGTTGAATGTTTTCAAGATTACTTGGCAGAAATGATCACCATTATGACACCATGTGCAGAGCACAACAATCAATTCACTACCCTGAAAAGGCCAGGGTCACACTCAAAGGTCAATGTTAAAACATGTATTTATATGTCCGAGCTATAACCTTTTGACATTTCACAGGTTTTTAAATTACGTCCATGACACACTCTGCAGAGCACAACATCTAGGTTGCTAACTCCCAAGTTATATTCAGGTTGCTACCCCCAAGGCGGAGGTTAGATATTCTTCATAACTTTTTGACTTTATGGAAGATTTTAACAACATAAACAACATAAACATTTTATTCATGTCAGACTCATTCAAATACAGAACAACATGCCAGAAAATAAAGTTTTAAATACTGTGCTGGTAATTAAAATGGGGACAGTGATGAAACATCTAAATGTGCTCATGTAAACAACAATTATTCAATGTAAAACAACAAAACATACACATTGACAAAGTAAACCTACAAAATAATCTACTGTTAGTGAGAAAACGTTAGCGCTGTGAAATGAATCAGATTTGCATGACAATAACATGATAATCGTGAGTGACACGCTATAATGAATGTAATGAAAATGAATTTTTGTAAACACATTATCTAATAATTTAAATAAAACCGGCAATAAAGTTTTAACCTGTATAGTGTGAAGTATGCAGTAGTCATAATACTTGTGCAGTGCACGAGTATTTCGTGCCAACTGAAATATTGTTGAAACAGTTTGTATACATGTATTCATTACGTTTAGTATTCAGGATAAGGTTGAACAAATTTGCTAGGTACAAAAAAATGTGAAATGAGAAATTATTTCAACACTTAATGTCAAGAAAAATATTACATGTTCGTATTTGATTGTTTATATATAGAAATTATTTTCGAGAAAAAAAAGTACAATCCGAAATAGTCTTGCAGTGATATTACTTAAAGATTAACTGATAACGTTACCAACTGCGTCACGCTGATAGTTGATTAATTTGTCGATATTTTAATTTATATCGGAAGCCTGCGTGCCAACAGATAATAATACAACATGATAACTGTTTACACCGTAAAAGTGGATTTTTCCGCCGCGTCTAAATAATTATCCTAAACGGACAGTATTTAATGTACTGAAATAGTAAATAAGCAATCAATGTAACAATTAAACAAGATACAATGTGTTAAGGTAGTAGTAAGGTTGTTTTTCTAGATAAATAAAGTATCTTCGTATATAAAAACAAATTGAATAAGTAAATTCAAATCTAACGGGACAAACTGAAATCAATACACCGTTGAGAAGTAACTTTTACAACTTTTACTATCAATGTCCTTGGCGCACGGGAAACACGATTTTTCATTCATAGATTATCTAAAGTAGGCGTGGCAAAAACTGAAGATCTTTCGGCGTAACCAAGAATCGAAGTACAAATCAAAAGAGCTCGCGTTCTCGCCAGAGTGAAAAATAACAAATGGATTTATTGTTCATTTTGAAATAAGTGGATGGGTTTGCATCGGTGAGTAATAATGATTTACAAAAATAATAATAATAAAATAATAATAAACAGTAAAGCTCAACGAAAAGCAATTTTATCAGTAAAATTTATTGAAATGTTTTTAGAATTATTGTAAAAAATTATTGTGGACAATTTTGGAACGACATATTAATACATGCATAAATAAATATTTTGAATTCATTTCGAATAAACGGTACTCCTTGCACGCTCACAATATGGTGTCGTATTATTGCTTTTACAATAATTGCAAATAAAGTAATAGTAAGAAACCGGCTAAACGCGGTACATTTGTTAAATGGGGTCAAGGTAACATTACTACATCATATCAATTTATTTATGTAGATATCACTACATAAAAAACTCCACTATTGCTACGAAACACATAATGACGGATAATTTATTGAGAATGAAAAATCTCCCGATCATTGAATTGTGCATGAAAGTAGGAATTAAACGAATGTGTGCTGGAATCGACGCCGCAAATGGTATGTGGAGACCAGTGAATGTTATATAGTAGTTTGGTACAGACGCTGCTAATTTACATTATTTTCACGTTGACGTCAGATGCCGCTGTCGTTCAAAGCTTTTCTTGCATTTCAGACAAGAGTATCTATCTGTTGTTTATACCGAAGCAAGAAAAACCTGTCTTAGACCCTCCGTATAAGATTAGTCGCGTGCTTTAAATGACGTCATTCTCGTGCGCCTTTTATGAATGAATTGCGTTCTTACGATGGCGTCTTCTTTCCGTTTCAAATGAAGTTCAAAATTCATACGCAATTACATGTATAAGAATTTATATAACAAAATTTCTTTCCAAATTTTGATGACTATGTAATATGTCCAAATGTTACTGTTAAACAGAATCTCGACAGAACATTGTTACCGCCGTAAACAGTTACCCTCGAGCAACATATTCGGGTCTTACCGGCAGCTGGTATAAAGTCCCTTTGATGCAATTTCTTTTTATGATGTAATATGCAATATAGTTTATTTATCATTTTCTTCTACAAACTAGAAAAAGACTTATCCCTTGAAGTAGTGAGGTCGTGTATAGATTTCAAATAAATTTCTCAAAAGGATTTTATAAAGGAAGTAATCGTATTTTTGGATACCCCTTGTACATATTTGTCGTGGACAAAAATAACTTCAAACATTTAGACAGATATACAATGTATTGATTTATTATCGTAAATAACTATCATAAAATAAAGGGGAAATTTAAATAATGCTTTGCCTTACATATACCATGATCATACATGTATATATATTATCAGCGTTGTTATATATTAGTTAAATGTTATATTTCATTTCTCAAGCGACGATTCAGGTAATGGCAGCTTTAAATATGTCTATAAAGCACACGTTTGATGCGTTGGACAATTGTGGATATTCACGACTGTCTGCCGACAAACGGATACAAATTATGGAAAATGGTGGCAAAATGGCAAGTTTGTTCTACAGGGAGAAAGCAAATGAAGATATTGATTTAGTCATTGCTGGAAGTCGTGGAGAAGGTATAGGATTTTACTTTGATTGCGATTTAGACAGACTTTTTATACAGCGTTCAGTAATGTGTTACGCAGCATTTCCGAGTGCCTCAACCCAAGTTCGATATGCTGCTGAATTTTGGCTTGATTTTGAAAATACGCCGAGCGGCTATTGTAGATTAAAACTAATATCAAAACAACCACAAACAACTCCAGAAGCTAAAAACTTTGCATTTGTACAAAACATGGAAACTGCCATACAAATAGAAAATGGAGAAACGTTTCTTCGCAACGATAAAATATTAACATCGGCTATGCAACATCTGGATAGGACTGGGTGGTTAGCTCGAATGTGCGTTTACGATGTTGACGTAGGGCCTTCAAAACCATACGAAGTCCGAATTCCTTTCTCAAAATATGCCTTCAAAATTGACGACGTGCTTGGTTTTAAATGTGTATTCCCGACGATAATTCAAGAGTGGTGCGATCGAATAAGAGAGCATGATTGGCCGAGTCCAGGAATTGTGGAACAAGTAAAATGGGTAGATGTTCTCGTTGTACCTGCTGGAGAAACAGGAGATGAAGTTTTACAATGGAGGATTAGTTTAGTTCTCGCAGAGCTTGTTCTTGCTCGTTCATTTAATGATGTTCCAGGCTTAAAGTTTATGGCTGCTCTCAAAATGCGTGTAAGAACGTGTTTAAGAAATCCTGCGATAACATTGTCATCATATATGATCAAAAATGTTGTCTTCTGGATGTCAGAAAAAACACAAAACTGTGAGTTTGCGCAAGGTAAACTTTTAGATCGGATAACAGACGGACTCATATTTTTGAGAAAATGTGTTTTGATGAAGGACAGCTTCCGAACTACATGATACCTGGTAGTAACTTGCTTAAAAATAAGTTGTCATATATTGAAAGGGAAATGTACTTAAAGACATTGACAGCTGTCTTCAAGCCGGTGAACATGTTTTCGTACGATGCCCAGAGCTGATCCAAATTTCTGATGGAGCAGAAGCCGGTGTAAAAGATATCGAATTTAAAGAATTAGCCGAAGAATCGGTATACTCACTTTTTACATTTCCCCCAACGGAAGGTGCAAAGCTGATCAAAAAGTTATATAGCTTGAAATCGGCTAAAGATGTTGTAAAATTTTACCTAAAAAAGATTTTCCCTAAAATAAGAGAAAATAATCCATTAGATTTCTTCCGCCATATATGTAGTAAGACAGACAAAGAAATCCTTAAAACATTTAAAACATAAGTGACCGCACCAGATAGATTAATCTATTTAAAAAAAAGATGATTACTCTTATGAATTAGTAATAATAATGACAGACTACTACTACTACTTCACCATCTTTACCTGACTGAAAGCTGAATGAAGAGTCTTATAAATGAGAAAGCCATGAATGTATGCGAATAGTTATGTGTGTTTTGTGCAGCTTCCAGACTGACGGCTCTTTGAAAACTGTCTTATTTACTTTTTAGTTTACTACAAGTATTTTAGTGTAGTGATTGTTCTAATTTTCTATGATTATGTTATAATAACATATTTTAGCACAATTATTCCTTCTAATCGAACAGTATGAATACACCAATTTGTAGATCATGAAAAATTAAAAAAACGGGTTAGTTTAAATTTTTATAACAGTTATTTTAAAACATGTTACTTTATATATTATTTTTTTACAAAATTTAAAATTCCAAACAAAGATTTAAATTGTAAATTTTATTAGGGGGGTTATAGCAAGAAAAGAACTTAAAATCAAATATAGGGTCCAAACCCAAAATGACCCGGTACTTTTTTTCTGGGTTAAATTTTAATTATTTACATTAAAATCTCAGGATGGTTTCAGAATTTTTAAAGGGTTGGGGCCCTTAAAACAAGAATGGGTTTGGCAATTTTTCTACGAGTGATGGAAACAGAAAATTTTTTCCAAATTGTACAATGTTGACAGTTTTAAACACGAATGCAGGGGGGTACCTCGGCTTATTTTGATTGTACGCCGAGTGCAGGTCTTTTGCCGAAGGGTCGCCAGAGACTTATATCAAATTTAGCTATGTGCTATAGGGATATCTAAGCTAATTGTACTAGTATTGTCTTTACCTAGATCTATAGTTATGAAAATAACATAAAGTACTTGTATTGAATGTAACAGAAATTGCACGAAGTCTAACGTGTACAATATTTTATATAGTTTATTAGAAAAACATAAGATAGCCAGATGTCTCTATTCTAATAATGATGGGTTTTATTTCCTTATTTAGCAAGTTTTTTCTTTGTTATTTTTCTTTTGTTTCACTTAAAATGAGATATAAACAAGGAAAATATGCTTTAAAAAGTACTATATGACTTAAATACAAAAACACATTGGCTTACATGTTTAAGTGTTACGAAAAGTAATCGTATTCACAGCTTAATTGTAGTACATGAATCGCAAGATCATTTAGGTAGCTTAAACGTTTTCAATGCATATCATATCAATGTTTAAGACAATAAATATTGTCTTTAACAGTTTTTCTTCTTCAACTTTACTCTTTCAATTTCCATTCGAAATATTTAAATTACCTTATTACGAAGTTAAATGCCCCTCGCACATAAAAGCATGTTTGTATTAAAAGCCTCGCCCAACTCGTTATCTAAAGTCGTTTAAAATAAAAGAATTGGGATATGACGTGTCTCATTATGCAATCATTTATTTTTTTTCTTTGAATTCCTTATCAGTTACAAATTGTTTCTTCTTACGTATCGTTTTAGTGATTAGCCTGTCCGTGCTCTGCCTTGTGCCCTGTCCTGTTTTCGGCCCGTTTGGGGGTTGCGTTCATTGAATGCCGCCTTTCCCCTGTTAATCTCTTGTTTATCATTTTATATGGCTTATACCATTTTCTCATTTTTATTATTTATGTATAGATGAATAGTATAGATTTAGACTACATATGATAAAGAATGTATGTCATTGTTTGCAGGGGTATGTAATTTATTTCTATACTCAATAAAACAAAACAGGAGAAACAACTTTCTGTAGTGATATATTTTGTAAATACATGTATTCTTTTTTACGGTCAAATAATCAAAAGTTGTGCTCGGTTTGTGAAGATAGATTTTGGCAATGGTTCGCTGCAAAGATCTGATTAATAGGGCACAAAGTATTCTACACAATTTAAAAAGAATATAAGATAAATAATTTTACTAACTTAGAAATAATATACAAGGTAAAATATTTTCATTCCAAATGTATTCATTTTAAAGACATTATATACACCTAACTCCCTTCCATTGTGATACAAACGCCGCCAAGTTGCAGACAAGATCTAGATCTGATGTAAAAAAAATGAAATAAATGTTTAATTTTCACTGATTTTGATTCTTCAGAAAAAAAGATTGTAATATATTGTACATATTGTACAATTTCTAATCATCATTTGGATTTTGACGAGGTTTATTAGCATTATAACATTGATTATTCAAAGCTTAACACAAGCTGAAAAAAAGAGAAAATTGCAAGCAAATTGTTTATATCATATTTTTACATTGTGAACGTCACTCCTGCGCTTCTGTAGAAAGGCGGAATATTTTGTTTTCTGAGTTTAAAAGTCTCATCCTACGCAAAGGGTGGTAAAAAATGAAAGTTTAAAGATAATTCAAACCATACCTCCTTTAAATCATTGAATTCTCGGACTCGAGACTGACACAATAATATAATATTTTTCTCTAAAATGGCTTCCCGTTGATACACCCAATCAATGTATTTTATTTTAATTTGCTTACATGTGCTTTCTCCCTTTCTTATAATTGAATTCTGAATTGTGTATAAATAGGTAACGCAAATTTTAATAAGGCAACATCATAAGCATTCCTATAGAATAAATAAGCAGCTACGAATATGTATGCCCAAATCATTGATTTAATTTTTGAAATTTTATTTTTTTCCGAACCTCGTTTCTATTTATACGCCAGTGCGTATTGGCGTATCGGTAGGTCATAGTATCGCGGGCCTATGTTGTTGTTGCACAGAAAGGCAATACTTTTTCCAGGTCTTTCTATTGTTTTAAGAGAATCAATTGAGTTTCTTTACCTAACGGGACTGGGAATATTTTTACGAGATTTATGTTCCATTAGATGTAGGGGTTACACCAACAGCTTACGTGCAGAATTTCAGATCATTCGCCTACTCTGTTTTTTTTCCAGAATAATTATTCTTATTGTGAAAAATGTCCCTAAATTGAAAAGCGTTGCAACGTTTTTCACTCAAATTGGGCTAACAATAGCACAAAACTACGTTCTGAGTATATCAATTATTCTGTTTTTAGTTCCCCAGTCGATCTTAGTAAGATATTATAGCATTTTATTTTATTGGATCTCAATGGAATTCCGTTAACTTAATATATTCACAGTATCTATAAATATAGATATTTCGACGAATGTGATTTTTCTTTGTTATTTTGTATATAAAATCGATTAAAAATACATTATTTTATTGCTCGAAATAAAGAGAGAACAAGATTATACAGTCAACACTTGTGTTTATTAACTTACACACTCACTTTCATTTTTGTAGTACAACATTCAAAAACTGTTATGAAAACGACCATGTTTCAATGGGATATTATTGACCACTCAAAATTTAAATTCCGCCGACCGAAAGAAGAGTAAACGTATAACAACCGTTACAACTATAGGCAAATGACCCTTTAACTGACCCTTTTAAGTTGCCATGAACTACTTTTACTTAACTTGCTAGCTAACATTAGATTTTGCCCTTTGCAAAATTCAGAATTTATTTCTATTGAATTCATGTCCAAAGCAGCTAATGTGTATTGCATGCTTGTACTTGTTCCAAATGACTGAATAGTTTTTAGACAGTATCGGTGCGCCTTTTCCAAATTTTCAATATCACTTTATTCATAATTATTCCACAACCCACAGCCATAGAGAGCTCTAGGCAATATTACTGAAGAGTAAATTGTTTTGAAAGTAATCAGAGATAAACAGTAAGGATGAAGACCACTGTTTAAGGCACTAAAAATGTATAACGCAATTTTACACTTGCGTCTTCTATCGATTTTTTTAAGTTGCAAAAATCTATTGCAGTTAATACCAAGATGAGTATAGTTGTCTACCTCATCGATCATTTGTGTATCAAGTGTCCATATACTCTGGAGATTTTCCGAGTCTACTTCATTAAATTGTATTCTCGAGAATAATGCACACATTCGCGTAATACAAATGACGTCACAAGGCAACCTAACTGCTCCTGAAAACCCCCTTGTTGGATATTCAATTTTGACGTGAGTTTTTCTTTACATCGATTCATAACATCCATTTCAAACACTTTCAGGATTGTTGAAGTTAATGATATTACCCTATAATTGTTGGAATCGTCTTTTCTTTTATTTCCTCGTTTATGTAAAGTTATAATGATTCCCTTTTTATTTTTTTATTTTCATCGGTATGTATGATAATCTAAGCAAATATGAACAAATGTTGGCAAGTAGAGGAGAGAGAATATCACGTTCATAACACACATTATCGTGACCACAAGCTTTCCTTTTCGGGGACGATATAATCAATTCGCACACTGTTTGCGGCAAAACAGTAGTCATCCGTGGAAATAGTTTCAATTGTCGATTGTAAGGTAATGTTTACATGTTGGAACCAATCTGCGTCAAAGTTAGCATTTACAGAAGGTGAATAAAGGTCTTTAAAGTAGAGTCCCCATTTATCTGTTAAGTCTTGTTTATTCCTATAAATACTGCCATTAAATTGTATTCCAGCTCCTGATGAGCATTTTGATGAATTTTTACAAGAATTAACAACTTTCCAGAATTTTTCGGAATCAGCCTCGGCTGTTTTGTCAATTTCATGATCTAATTGTCTAAGATATTGATTCACATGGTAATTATGCAAGCGGTGAAAGCCACGTTTGGCATTTTTGTATTCAATATAAAACAGATTTGAAATAAGTCGGGGCCGACCTTCCCGACAACACAATCTACATTTTTCTTACATATATGTGTCCCGAGTTCAGTACTCCAGTACGGTTTTACTTTGATACCGGGAGACATGATGATGACTCTGTTATTGCCTTAATAATTGTCGTATATGCATTATAGATATTTGACCGATTTAACTCACAATGTTCCAGTCGAAGCAATTCATTGTTTTCTATAATAGCAGACACATAATTAACATTGTCACATTCTTTGATTCCTTTCCAGTTTATTTTGGATACAGTTTCTACAACTTTTAGCCTTGTGTCACTTTTGCTGTTTGTAATAAATTCTAGTGGTGTAACGATAGGCCTATGGCGGGAAACGTTGAGGGCGTCATCGTCAAGAATTCCACAGCATTATACATAATCTGGCATACATATATAATCAATAAGTGAACAGTAACGATCATCAGAAACATATGAGTACTTAGTTCCTTTACAACTGTCTAATTTGTTTAAAGAAAGATAATTAGTATTATACAAACACTTACAAAATAGCTGTTCTCTGGTTCTACTTCTATCAGTTTTAGCATCAGTGTTAATATCAGCTATGAAAATTGGTATACAGCTTTCTCTATACATAAACCATAAGTTATATAGTTTGTCAATATAGCGTCTAAATGACTCAATAGAGTGGTTAGGAGCATGGTAGATATAACTGAAATACGTACATATATAAATCAGACTGTATTTGTACCTGTATACCAATAATACGATCATCGTCATAAGGCAATGGTATTACTCGCATATCAAGTCTTTTATGCCAAAGAATAGCTACACCACATTTACCTATTTTCCGATTTCTAGGAAATGCTAAACTATAGTCTGAAACTGCATGACACCTACATTCACTAGTCAAAGAATATAGAAAGAACAAATTATGTTCATAAAGCCAATGTCCTGACAGCCCACATATATCTATATTATACTTTAATAAGATCAATATTAGAGCTCATCATTAAACTACGTCAGGTGTTAACGTGCTGTACTAATTAAAGTCGCTAAAAGAGGGCCAATCAATCGTTACCGTTTTGTGCCAATCACCATATCCTGATGTCGTCTGTTTCGGTGCAACAAAGCCTCGTTCCCATACAAATTCTTTTGTTGGATTTCTGTACGTGACATCCAAGTTTCACAGGTTATACCTTTTGACCAAAATCAAGGATCTAAGACTAAATCCGCGTTCACATTTGCTTCTACGTTAAGCGGACAATAACTTTATTCTTCGATTTCCTCATCGGGAATTTTCAAATCATTGTCACCGTTGCGCCCCTGTTTGTCACAAAATTAGTCAGGTATTTTGACACCAATTGACACCGATTTATTGAATTCACCGACAAAATACCTCTTCGTTGGATTAGTTTGGTGCCAGTTAAAAGTATAATATTTTCGCAAGTCACGTTCTTTGCGAGATGTAACACGCACAGGTATTGCGGTCATTTTAGGGAACGTTGACGCACGATTTGTACAAGATTGATATTTGCTCTGCACGTGCTTCTCTACATCCTCCGTGATCGTACTACTATTTTTAATGATTGATGGTCTTAATGGTGGCACATTTGGTTTCGAGATTTATTATTAGTGTTGTTCTCTGCACTGTAATCACTTTGTCGGGAGGGTTACTGAAGTTCAGTTGTGTATGCTGTTTCTCATGTGGGTAGTTTGAAATAGATTGTTTCTCTTTTTGACTTAGATATACTTCAAGTTGAGAGACACCAACATGTGTGGTTTTTGCTGACGATTCACTTGAGATCTCAGTGCTGTCGTTTACATTAATACAAACAGATGCCTGGTTATAATTTTCATTAGCACAGTTTTTGCTATGGTAATCATGCACAATACATTTGGCAATCTTAACTACACCGGGACTATCAACAAAAAATCCTCAAGTGAGCTCATTCTCTCAATAACACTGTCAAGACAACTAAGCGTTAAACGACACGTGGTCAAACTTTGACAGACTAGTGGCTATGCACTCAGCAATATACTTTTGGCAATTTGTTATATCCTGTCGTATGCCTTGAACTGTGTCGAAAATACAAGTTACTTGTTCTTTTCGAAGTTTATCATTAGTATGATTTGTTTGTTTAATGATCAGTAGGTCTGCTGATTAGATACTGTGTTTTTCAGCAATTCCAGCATTGTGTTACACTGAGAGCTATTTGAAGGTTTTGACTGTTGAATTGGACAAGATTGGGAGCATTGGCGCTTTTAGCCTCACTCAACATTTCTATAATAAGTCCAAAATCTTCACCATCCATGACTGAAAGCAACGTGTGGATGTCATCGGCAAGTTTGACTGAGATCGGATCTCCTTTGCCTCTATAGACCCGCTTTTTCAGTTTCAGAATTTAAGTTAAATGGAAATCTTTATTTGATTTAAGAGCTTCGAATAATCGCAGCCTTGTGTCTTCTAAATCTGTCTCACTAGAGTAATCTTTGAGAATAGCAGACACAAAAGTTATTAATGGCATTTTACGAAACATATCTACAAGCCAGAAATGTATCATTGTTATTGCCTGCCCATCACTATAGATGTTGCTCTTTAAAGAGGCGCATCACATATACTGTCATCTGTTGTTGTTAACGTCACTCGAGATTACGGCTAATTTAACCTCGGTATCATCATTTGCTATCAGTGGTTCGAATTCCGCACTGGGATAATTCTCCATTCATATTGAATTTTACTGATCAGTGTGTCACCAATAGCCGTTATGCCCCCAGGGAATATTGGAAAAAATTGTCCAGCTTGACCTCTCTCTATATAACTATAAATACTTTTTGAATCAAGAATAGTACCTCTCCAGAATCCTTTTTCTTTCCTATTTCCTTTCTCCAGTTATGATATAATTAAGATATAATTATATACTCACAAAAGCTAAATGTGATTGAAATTGTTAGAAATATTATAAATCCGTGAGAGCCCAAAATAAAAAACACGTCAGACGTGAGGCATGTTGTCGCGATGTTACAATGTCGCATGGTCCAAATCGAAGGATTGGCTTTTTGTATATATACAAGCCGCACGACAGGGTGACATCGAGATAACGCGCCGCTCGACAATGCGACGTTTGACGTGCTTCGCTAGCGACAAGACGACAGTGCGACAACACGCTTTTGTCGCGTTTCGCTAGCGACAAGACAAGACAAAACAGCGATAACGATATAGGTTTTGTTGTCGCTATCGACAACACAACGCGCAAAGTGTACCAAATCAGCCATCATATCAATTGAAATGTATAAGGAAGAATTTCGTAGAAAAAAAGTATTTTAGTGGAAGTGCCGCATCCGAGTATTATCAGTATATACGTGTAAAAGCCTTATATACAGAACGGACCGTCATGTAAAATTATACCTTCTGTCATAACTTCGCTCCAAAACTCTATTATCAAATTTATTAGAGTTTTACAAGTTCACTTTAGACGTCCGCTACAGTTTTCATAATAAATAAAAAGCAGAATAAGAACTCTTTCATATATTTTTTTTCCTAACTTGCATAATCTTACAATATGTAAACAACAAGAAACATTTTTAAGCGAAAATACATTGGATGTTGGTGTTCTTGTTTTGAGATTACTGACCTTGATTTTTTTGGCTTGTTTCAAGAGTTATCATAAGAGTTACCCTTAGAAACGAACGATTTATCCTTACCAAACCCTAAAGAAGCTTAATGAACGTTTACACTGTGATTTAAAAATATAAATAATTATCAACAAAAGTTAACATAATACTTTTCAGCCTTTAAAAATATATTTGCTCTTGGAATGATAAAGAATATCCCGACCCCAACAACAACAAAAGCAAACAAAAAAAAACAAACAAACAAAACAAATAAATAAATAACAATAATTTAATGAAATAAATCAATAAAAATTACTAGAACGTGAAAAAAATGAAGAAAAAATCAATATTTACGCCATCATATTTAAAAAAATAAGAGTTTTTAATTTCGATATGCCATGAGCAAACTCAATAAACAATGGATTTTATTCAACATTGGAAAACATACACAGACATGGTTATACGGAATGCATTGAACCAATACAGTATCACTGGTAATGAAAAAAACCATGTAACACCTTACAAAAACACGTCTAAACATGCGTATTACATCACGTTGTATAAAACGGAATATAATTTTAATTTTTAGTGTTATATATTATCATCTTAATCTACGACGTTTATCAATTTAAGGTAAGTGTTTATTTAATCATCAATTTTAATCATTTAAAATTTTAAATTAAAGACTTTTAAGAAAAGAATTAACTTAAAAAAACACCAAAAAAACTTTCTCTTTTTTAAGAACAAAAAAGTATACACGAAAGCTTTGACATTCAAAAGATTAGAATCACTTTGACTGGTCAGTCAGTTTTTCGGACATGAGCGGTCACGTGAGCATTAACATATCAAAACTTTAGTCTTGAAAAACAAATGATTGAAATGTTGCACATTTTCCACTTAAGGTATTTTATTTTTTCTCCAATTACTTTAAATGTACATGTACTTGTACTTCTGAAAAAAAGTGTATCAATATGTACAAATTCAACGCTGCAAATATACTATTTACTATATACCATTATAATGCAGATGCATATATATTGTTACACTTTTTTAATCAATAAGGAACTCTGTATTTTCACAATAGATTATGTTGTAATCTGCAATAAGGCTGAATACACATATAAAAATATCATATACTTTCAAGCTGACACAGTCTTGATTCAATGATAATACAAGCTGTTCACAATTTATTCGATAATATCATGATGCTGTTTCGTTCTTGGTACGATCGTGAGAGCTTCAAACTTTTACTATACCCTATTTTGGTTAGGGTATATTTATTCATCATAACATTTAACATGTAAACAATAGTTGCAACATACATTTTGGAATTGGGCAGAAAGCTATAAAGCTTATGAGTGTCCTCTCCCAAGAATATCCTATTTTCTTTTATGATTGGTCAATCTACTACGTAAAGCTCAAACAATGATTTTAGAATTGTTCACAAGCAACGATTTTCTTTCAAAACGGTGACAATAGCGAGTCATTGAGTACGAAACGTCATGCAATGTGATTAGGCTGAACATGTTTTTATATTGAACGGGGATTTATGTGTAAATATAGATCTGACAAATGTAAATTTTGAAAGGAATTTTCAGGCATGGAAGAAGAATAGATATGGACGTAACAAAAGAATCAACATATGTTGTGTTTGCAATAATAGCTGAACTGAAGTTATAAAAAGATTTGTGCTGGTAATGCACGAGCATTATATCCAGTTCAAAAGATTAAACACAGCTTGCAAGCACACGACATTTGTGAACATCTGAACAGAACTCGACATAAAGTTAGATATTCAACTTTCATTTATAAGCGTGATTGTGATAAAAATTTTGAAATTAACATAAAACTCTCTTGAGTCCGTTCTAGTGTCATTCTATAAATATTATATCATATCTTTTTAATACTGTTAGTACATAATGTTAACTTGAGAAAGGTAATGTTTACAGAGATATGTGCCGAGGCACACAATGCGTTAGTTTAACCTCATGTCTACGTAGATAATACGTTAGTTTAAACTTATGTCTACGAGATGTGTGCCGAGGTAGATGATACATTAGTTTAAACTTATGACTACGTACATAATACGTTAGTTTAAACTTATGTCTACCGAGAGGTGTGCCGAGGTAGATAATACGATAGTTTAAACTTATGTCTACGAAGATAATACGTTAGTTTAAACTTATGTATACCGAGATGTGTGCCGAGGTAGACAATACGTTTGTTTAAACTTATTTCTACCGAGACGTATGCCGAGGTAGATAATACGTAGGTTTTAACATTATGTCTACGTAGATAATATGTTAGTTTACACTTATGTCTACGTAGATAATACGTAAGTTTAAAATTATGTCTACCGAGATATGTGCCGAAGTAGATAATACATGAGTTAAAACTTATGTCTACCGAGATATGTGCCGAGGTAGATAATACGTGAGTTAAAACTTATGTCTACCGAGATATGTGCCGAGGTAGATATGTGCCGAGGGAGATAATACGTTTATCTAGGTCATTATACAATTTCGCTATTGCTTCTTGGCATTATTTTTTTCGATAATGGGCGAACGAATGAGCGCACGTGCAAAATGACGTAATCAGCCCTCAGTGACTTTCAAGATGGCTACTTGCGCTTAAAACTTTATGTTTAGATTGCATAATCATTCGCAATCAACAAAGCTGAACATTTAAGATTTATACACTCAAGAATAAAATACAGTAACTCTACCATAGACAAAACATGACCATCAGAAATTCCGAAAATAATTTCAGACTGACGGTTGAAAAAAGATCGGGGGAATTTAGAGCTAGACACATCAGAAACCGTTCTTAAAAGCACAAAAGTTCATAAAAAACTGGCACTAAACGTTATTCTCACATAGTATTTATAAATATAAACAACAATAAAACAACATTTTCTCATAATTATTTTGTGTTGTTATGTTTTCTAAGCTAATCGGAGGGTTAAACTGTATGACAGATATTTGTTTACATTGCCAACTGTCCATTTCTAAGAAAGGGAGACAACCAAATTAAGCGGCGATGTCTAAACATAGGTATTATAGGCTAAATGGCCCGAAAATGTGCATAATGGCCTGAATGACAATATTGACATCGAGCAGCAAACAAGTATTAACCTCTAAATAAAGGCGTTTTAACGCGAATAAAAACGTTATAATTGGAAACCAAAAAAATTAAACTGTTAAATTATTTCATTCATTTATTGAATTCGATCCTGAATCCGGGCGTTCCGGAATACTACTACCATTATTTTCCCCACCACGTACTGATTTTTACAGTTTTTTTTATTATTTCTCCTACTGGGCGGCGTCGTATGATCATAGCAGTGTTCTTACTGAAGAATTAATAGCACAAGGTGATATTACAGATTGGCAAATTAAGTTCATGTACTAAATATATCTTTAAACAGGCATAGTCACATGGGGGTATGATATACGAAATTTGGTTGTGACCCTAGCGGGGCTTAAACTCAGGATCACTAGGTGGCGGCTACAAAACGTCGGCCATTTTCAATATTTTTTCTAGACCATACGTCTAAATGTCTCAATTACTGTCTGAATAATGTTGAAAGATCACCACGTTCACTGAATGCAGGCTGAATCTAACAGTTATTTTCGCTGTATTTCAAGTATAAATACCACTCCATCTTGTGATCAAACGCAACAAATCCTTTCTACTGCTGTGTTCTAGTCAGCTGATATATTTGCTAAAACTGCTCGTGATGGTAGTTTTAATATACAAATTAAATATTAAAAAATCTGAATATGTTGAAAATGCTATTAGAGATTTTTAGCTTGAGCCGATACCGATAGACGAAGACGGATAATTTTTTAAGGGGGCGTTTCAAAATGATTTCTTTTTTAAAACAGAAGGCCAAGCCAAATACAATAATTGCATTTATTTCTATTACAAAAGTCGTTCATATGTTTTTTCTGAATATCTAGTTTGATTCATCAGAATATTTCTCGACATCAAGATGGTGAAGCAATTTTGGAACTTTGTTTTAATAAAATCGTTGTAAAATAATTGATTTTCCTAAAATTTAATAATGTCAGCAAGCGGCCTCGTTCTTCTTCTCCGTTTATGTGTACGTGGGGGAGTAAGGTCTTAATGTTTTCCCTTAAATCAGCTCTTTCTGGTTGATTTTCCTGGTGTGACCGAGCTGCTACTTGACTGGCCTCGTGTTCTCTCGTGTCGATCGCGAAATTCTAAAGATGGTGCGCAATAGCATCTAATGCCACTCCTGCACAAGATGACCGAAACTGAAAGCAGGTTTAATGCGCATATTTTTATGTAACAAGATAACTCATTGCACAATTATAGAACTCATTCGAGCATCGCCTTACCCGATACTAAATATAAGTTATATATATGTTTTTTGGAATCGTTAAAAGCATGTTAAGTGGCAGAAATTTGTTTTTTTTATCTCTTTCAAGTGACCGGGGGAACATTTCTTAGACTCTTTTTAGATCTGTTAAAAACTATTCGTATTTCATCATACAAGCCTCTTAAACTTCTTGCAAGAAACAGAGTTCTTTTTGTGCGTATGTGGTTTCGAACATACCAGAAGTTTATGATGCTTTCGCCATTGTATCAGTGCCAAGTGCGACAATGCTATGTCATCCCGATTTTCTATCTACGTCTAAAATATTTGTCGTTTTGCCACAGGTTCATGAGTGGTTAGCCATGAGAGGCACCTGGGTCAGAATTTCAATAGCCGTGATAGCAATTGATGGAACTTCTTATGGTATCAGTAGCTCTATCATAATGCATGAATGAAACCCAAGAACAGTTTTATTCGGGACATCGAATATAAGATATATACGAAGTGGGTTTCCTGGTCACTATATTGATGCCCAGCAGTATTACTGTTACCTCAGATCGGCAATAAATTACTATTTTCACAAGAGTGCGTTAAAGTTGTCGATAAAATTTATCCGACTTATGCCCATATTATGACACCATACACGTCAGCTCAAATACGCCGTAAATAGTGGCCTAAACGGCGGATAAAGTGCCTAAAACTTTAACATAATATTAAAATATGTTGAATGTTTTTGAACACGCTATAGCAAGATGTATATGTTACAGGCCAAATTTCTAGTGTTGAATAACAAAAAACTGTATAATTATTATTTGTGCTTATCTTCTGTGCAATAAAAGGTTTATAGCACTTACTGTATTTAATTGAATGATAATATTTTGAGATAACCCCCGAATATTTAACCGTTGTTTTCGTCTCGGCTATTCGTTATCCGTTAACAAGCTGTAAATCTCTATTTACAATTCAAAAGAACTCAAAACTCAGAACCCATTCTTAAAATTCCTTTTTTATTAAGTTTCCGAATTTAATTCTATGCGTTTAGGATATATGCATAATTTCACTTGGAGACATACGCCTTTCTTTCTTTGAATGGCACGAAAGTCACATTGAAGGTTCCAAGATAAACCGCCAAAATGAAAGCAATTCAGATGTTTCTAATTCAAAATTAAATTTCACCATTTTCATGTTTAAATGTTTATTCTGCTTAAGCCTGTGCAAGGAGGCATTGACGGTAGCTTGCAATGTCAACCACCGTCTACGAACATGCTTAATAAAGGCAAGTCTAAAACATTTTCAATTTTGTCGTTTTCGGCGTGTTATTTTAATATTTTTCTCTATTTTATTTGGCTGACTTTTATTTATGTATTTTCAGACACAAATGATAGAAGGAAGTTTAATATTATATAATGAACAGATTGATAACTATGACACAGAACCGAATATTTCCGGACCTATTGATTTGGTCTATTTGTGGGTAAATGGAAGTGACCCAAAAGTCATATTAGAAATGAAACGTCAAAAGGCTGTAGAAGATTTTGGAAAATACAACAAGTACGCCGTCCTTAATTATCACTGTTTTTTTATTCTTTGGTTGGAATTATTGAGAATTCGATAAAATGAATTAAGTTTGAACACATATGATAACAGTTTCCAAAATGATGATTATTCCTGATTCATCATAAGAGAGGAAAAAGACTGCATTTAAAGGCAAAGATAGTATCTATAATAAACTGATAATATTTAGATGTAGGCACGAATAATTATATAGATTGAACACAAATGACATCAAGCCCAACTGAACTAGATATATATTTGAAAGATCGAATTTCATAATGATGATTTGATAAAAAATGTTTATGGTTAATAATTTTTTTTAAAAAACCCTCTTTTTATTAAATTGAACGCAACCAAAACATTCCGTACGATATTTACAAGAATTTTCGTGGGTCACGTGGGTTATTGGTAAAATATAAAATTAAACATATTAATTGCAATGGTAAAGATTTTTTTTGAGTTTTACCTGTTCACTCATCATTTACAACTAGATGGGAATTATTGCACTTTCAAACTCAAGAAAAGAGCATAATTGAAGCACAAATGTCGGGCGCTATTAAATAATCAGGCCCTATCGAATCGAGCTGGAAACATTTTCAACTTTGACCTTTAGGGTGTTCTATAGGGATTCCTTTTTTCTGTATTACAATCGAAAAACGCTGCGATAAGACAAATGGAATACACAAAGAGGCTTGCACTTTTCAGAACCGTCCATGAACAGGCTCAATCAAACCGAGCCTGCATACATTTTCAATTATGTTGCTATGTTGGGCTTTCTTTAGCGGTTCTGTTTTTCTCTGTTTTTGGGGGCGTGGACGGTTACTTGCACTTTTTCAGTACCGTCAGTAACAGGCTCAATCAAACCAAGCCTGCAACATTTTCAATTTTGTCTTTTTGTGCGTTCTTTAGGGTTTCCGTTTTTGCTCTATTTGTTTCATACATTCAAATATTTTAAAATAAATACTGTTATAATTATTTATTGAGTCTCCTCATTGTTTTAATTACAAAACTTAACAAAATAGCTAAATGTTTCAATTTATAAAACCTTTTATTTTAATTGTATTTTCAGTATTTTCATATATTGTATCTGTCAGTAAAAAGTCAATTTTCTGAACATCTAAAAAATTGTTATCTTTTGTATTTTTGTAACAGATCTTTAAGCTGCAGATTTCAGTCCGTCATGGCAGAATCCTTTCACGTGATAGTAGTATATCCGGCGTTACATTCTACAAGAATACTTCTAGAAAATAACAATATTGAGTTTATTTCTAATGTTACTGATAAAGATATGGTGTATAGTATTATTATTCCAAAACAAATGAATGAAAGTAAGTGGAACACTGTGTTTAATTATTAATGATTAACCTCATAAATGTCTATGTCTGTCTTTATCTATTGGTTTAATACTGTGACAAAAGTGAATATCGCGACAAAGTTGTTCGTTTGTTCAATGTGCTTCGTTTGCAGTGTTAATCACTTCAAACCAGTCTCGCGATATTTGTCTGGTTTCCGTAATGATTGATTCATGTACGTTTTGTTAAAGATAGGGGATCATAAACCGCTTTTCATGTAATAACACTACTGTTTCACATAGAAAGTTCCATGATAACCGCCGTATGAACACATCTGCGGATGTTCCTAAATTCAAAATTTCACCATTTTTGTGTTTAAATGTTGAATTCTGCTTAAGCCAGTGCTAGGGGGCGTGGACGGTAACTTGCACTTTCCAGTACCGTCGATGAACAGGCTCAATCAAACCGAGTCTGCAACATTTACAATATTGCCGTGTTGGGCTTTCTTTAGGGATTCTGTTTTTCTCTATTATATAAATGATAATGGTAATATTAAACTGATGTAGAAAGATAATTCTCTTTATAATGACTTGCACGTCATGAAATTATGTACAAAAATTATTGATAAGGAGATCCCTGGAGAGCAACGGACACGAGGCTTTATTGAATACGTTCATGAAAGATAGTCTAAAATGCAACGTCTCCCAAGCGCATTTTTGAGATCATTTTCACTGTAAATCAATGTCCAAATTTATACGATTTCTTTTATAAGCTTATGCTAAAGAATGCTTTCCATTGTAATATTATGTATATGGATACTTCCATCATGTTTTATGTGTAAATAATGACTTTCATTGTTCACTTACCTTAACAATTGAAGTTGTATTACTTGTATTGTATTACCTATTATATACATTATTTTAGTTACAGGTATAATGAACACCCTGACTGTGATAGAAGGACATACTTACATCAGTATGTGTGGCAGTATTGTATGTTTTTATAGATCTACTTTTCTTTATATATATTTTTAAATTATTAAACGTTACAGCTGGAAAGCCATATATTTAAAATTATTTTTTATTTATAATGAAATTATTATCAAAGTGTTTTTACGCAGACATGAAACCTTTAGCAAAGAGACCATTATAATTATGACAATGAAATTTTTTATTGAAATAGACTGGTCATCATGTCACTCATTCAGCAAAGTGGGATAAATGTTCTCTAAATAAGTCTCTTACATGTCGAATTCAATGTACCTTTCCAGTTTTTAGTAGTGAGAAATTTACCCCGCCATTAATATTCATTGTCCCATCTTCCTTTACGGTTTCTTATATCTGTAATCCCCTTCTATTCCTAGCCTTTTCAATCGTTCGTTTTAATGTTCTCATTCAAACTCCTTTATTCTTTTTCTTTCTTAAATGCTCCGCCCGTTTGTCCTCTCCTACGTCTTTATAAATGCTGTACTAGATACATTACCGGTGGTCATTGTCATGAATGACTTGGTTATGTCGGAAGATACAGAGAAATGGAGGCCATGAACATTGTTCAGCACGTCATATGCTTAATCTGAGTATCCGTATCTAAAAAAAGAAATGTTTGTAAGCATTGTATGCATGTGGTTAGCGATTTTCATATTGTGCATCATTTTACAGAAGTACCTTGTTGATCTTTGTGTTCATTTTTTTAATATAAATTACTTACTAATGAATTATTTCTGGATGTTATCAACAATATTTCTATATTATGTACTATTGAATAAAACAGCTTAAGCCTTTGCTAGAAAGCGTTGACGGTAGCTTGCAGTTACCTACAGGCTCAATCAATTTTTGCTGTGTTGGTTTTTTTTAGAGATTCTGTTTTTCTTTATTTTGAGAAAGACCTAAACACTATCTCATACGACTCATCTATATTTGCTGGTGTGACCAATATTAAATACTATAGCCAGCCTGTGTTACATATAATTCCAACTCAACGTTTATGGTACAAATTATATTTCTAACAGTGTGATTGTTACGTTAACATTAAATGGATTGTTACATTAAATTTCAGTGTAGTGAAAACAGATCTCAAGTGAAGAAAACACTAAAAAATCTGTACATTGTAACAACTAACGATAAAAAGACGATCACTGTCATCAAGCAAAGGCTAAGTGAGGTAACAATATGTTATATTTAGCAACTGTTCTTTCATTCAAAATACACTTTTAAAATTTGTTCTTTTCAGATAAAACATATGCCCGTTAACAAGCGTTTCTAAATGTTATGTTGATATTACTTTGTTTGCATTCATGTATCATTATAAACTTTTCACTGAATTTGAGCATACGATTCTTAGGTATTTAAACAGAACTCTCCACATCGAGCCATCAATGTTGTCATTTTAAGTCAATCATGTAATCAGTTACTGTCATCTATCTACCGACATAAACATACATAACTTTTACAAGCATTCAAACTTATCATTTTTGAGACATTGTATTATAACATATTAGAAATTATCACCAACATGACATTCAATGATCACTTATAAAAAAAAGAAAGAGAAAAACGTAATCCCACAAGAACGCTACAACAGAAAAAATAAAAATGTGTAGGCTCGGTTTGATTGAGCCTGTTCATGGACGGTGGTGGCCATTTGTATGATACCATGTCGTATATGTTCCATAATGTTAAAAGCATACAATCACTTGTTTTTAAAATAATATTCACTTCAGTGATTTCACAACTTCAAACCTTGCACCAAAATCAAAACCTGGATCGACTATGCGATTTTTACGAATTCTTTTATTTGATATTACTTTTTAGTAGGATATTTTACCAAAACCTGTGACATTTCTTTTTCTTTTTTTCATTTCAGATTGGTGCGAGCTATGTTTTAAAACAGCATTTAAATGTGAAAGCAGGAAAGTATATCATGATATGTTACAAACAACGTGCTTTCAGTAATATGTTCAACCAGGTAACTCTCTCACTCTACTTAGATATTACTTTGTTTTGTTTAAAAAAATGAACATCATTATTTGATTTTTATAAAGCATGTAAAATAATGTATAAGTTATACAAATTTATTTTAGTTTGATTGTGTTGGAAACTATAAGCTTATACAAACACTCTGAAACTAACCAGTACTAAGCAATAGATGTCAAGTTTATTGCTAGAAGAAAACAACGGCTTGCCTCTGACAGGGTTTGAACCCAAATAATGTATTGAATTGTATATACAATAAACTAAATAATTTCGGTTTAAACGTCATTGGATAATAACATGTGATATCTACATGTTATTACTATGACCGTGGTGAACTCTTATACCTAAATAATTTAAAATTTCACTCCTGTTAAATTGTAGCTTTACCTTAGAGTGTTAAAAACCCTGCGTAACATTGCTATATGCGCCATTCCAGACAATTGAAGACTTAAAACAATTCGACCTCGATATCAAACCTGCCAATTTAGTCTGGGATACAGATTCAGTGAGTAAAATAGTGACAATTAAATACATAGTTCATACAAAACGATTGTAAAAATTCATATCCGTATATGCCGTATCTGTCACGAGCTAGAAGATGAATTTCACTTAGTTATTGAATGTCTGGATTTTTTGGATTTAAGGAAAGAATGTACCAGAAATAAGTTTTGATGCGCCCAAGCTTTAATAAATTTTATACTGTAAACAAAAATGATATTCGAATCAATAAAGGTTTTGAAAAGAAATCAAAACACATAAAAACTAGATATTTTGTGAGCATTATTATTATGCCTATTTTTATGATGCCTATTTACTGCAAGAAATAATTTATGTGTGCATTTATCTTTATTCAGTTTTTGCCATCTTATCATGTTCATTGTATTATTTAATCGATCGCATGTTATTTTGGACAATGCTTATGAACCACGTGTGATTTATTGCATAATAAAATCCCTATTATATCCCAGATTAAAATAGAGGGACTCCCAAATGCTAACAGATATGCGGAGAATAATCAGTTGATATATTCCATAAGATCTGTAGAGAAATACGCACCTTGGATTCGACATATTTATATTGTAACCAATGACCAGACTCCAAGTTGGCTCAACACATCAAATGAGAGAATTGCGGTAATAAGCACGAAGGTATGTATAAACAGGGAGTAGCGCGAAAAAATTGTTTGAAATAAAATTATGGACCCTAATCAAAAACATTATCTTTACTAATAAATCAAATGATGAATATAATCTTTAAGTCGTTGTTAGTTTCAAACAGTTGATAATCTTTTATGTGTGAAGTTTTTTAAACATACAATATAACTTTATAAATATTGTAACATTTGTCAAACTTTGGAGGTTTGTACAGTTTTTAAAAAATCTTTTCTTATATATGTATAGGAGATATTTCCAAACCCGGATGATTTGCCGACTTTCTCGTCCCCTGCTATTGAAAGTTATATGTATCGTATTCCTGGTTTATCAGAAACAGTCCTCTTCATGTGCGACGATTTCATTTTTGGACAGCCAGTCACTTTACGTGATTTTTATACCTCAGAGGAGGGGTATAAGGTGAGAAAACTGATTATTATCTTATCCAGTGTTTTATTCTCTTTTTTTCTTCCCCTGCGCGGCAGTGCAGCAGAACACACACGCACGCGCGCGCACACACGCACACAAAAAGACCAAAAAAGCAAGCACTATTTGTAATTTATTCCTGTAATGTACATAAAAATGTTACCATATATCGAGATTTAATCAAAATAGTGGGTGATCCTTTGACGATGACAAGGAAATTAAATATAAATGAATTTATTAAGTGAGGAGAGAGCCAAGCAAAAGGGGAAATATATAACCAGTATATTTTATGCTTTTGTCATAGTTAAATATTTGGCTAAGGTTTGTATAATGCATTTGATTGTTTGATATTTATTCTACATATTTTCTAATTCACAGTTACTTAACATTATGAAATCAAACTGACGTATAAAAGACAAAAACAACTTTCATACTTGTTTCATGTCATGTTCCTGAATTAGTTTAAAAAAATGGTGTTCAGTTTTATAAACTATTTCCGACGATGTTTTCAATCTATGTTCATATTTGATCTCTTACTAAATGAAAATAATTGTAAACGATATACCATCGTTATTTGTTCGTACTATCTCACACAGATTTGAAACTTTGTTATCTTTTTTTGCTTGTATTCGTTTAGAGAATTTATACTTTTTATTCGTATATAATTTATACAAATTAAGACTGTGAGAACGCTATAATTCGTCATTCTGATTCAGATTAAATGGGGTGCAGCCTTGCGCCTTGCTGGTTTAGATGCTTTAACACGTTGCTAGGTAACGGTAAATGTGACAGGTCATGTGACAACATCAGTGTGGCTGGGATCATGGTGATTGATAAGAAATATAACTCGTGCTCATATTAAACAAATGTATCCATTGTTTTTTATGGCGGAAACTTTAAGGGATCTATATATAACACAATTGCAATGTTTAACAGGCTTCGGTTGAACAATGATGGCGTAGTTCATTTTAATTTCCCACCACATAGACCGTTGCTGGTGAATAGACAAATTGCTGGTGATCTTTATGAAACGTGAGTAAATGTTTTTGAATTTATTTTTATCACTGTATGATTACAGTTTGCAGCATAGTCTGTTAAGAAAAATGCCAAATGAAATTTTAATTGAAAATAACATTGCCTAATTTCTTATTTCCGCGTATACATTATTGTATTCATGTGTCGTCGTATAGTTTCCTTTAATCATGTTTTATTTATTTCTGCTATTATCAGCAGATTGCAAATTAGTACAATATCTAATAGGCAAGAGTTCTGCATCTTTATTTGCCCTGAACTCTGTATACCTACCTATTTTGGTTGGCAAACCAGCTCATTACCTGATAAGAATAATATCATTTATTTTATGCCGTTGAGTGAATTACTGATTTATTCGTGAAAATAATATTTGAGAATAAAAATGAATAATATTAAAATGATAACGTTGATTTAAATTTGTATTTTAGCATATAATAAAAACAAAATTTGTTTGTTTGAAGTGTCAATATAGTATTCTCAGTCGGTGAAATAAAATTTCATCTTACATAAAAACAAATGTCATCTTTATGTACTTGAAAACCCATGTTTGCTAAATGTATGTGTCTATATAAGCATAAGTGCATTTATATGCCATGATTCAAATATTATTTTTGCATGCAATGTTTGTGGTGATATACAATTATGTATGTTAATTTTGTCAATTTATATGTTTCATTACATTGTTTTGTTGTTAAGTCATCACTGTCCCCATGTTAATTATCCATACATTGTTTAAAACTTTATTTTCTGTCATGTTGTTCTGTATATGAGCATGTCATGAATAAACGTTCATGTTGTTATTGTTGTTGTTGATATTTTATAACTTCGATATATACTATTTTCTTCTATTCTACAGATTTCATGAAGAGTTTAAGATGTCATCATCCATCCATTTCCGTTCACAGTTCAATGTTCAATACACAATGGCGTATCTACTTTATATTACCACAACACATGTAAAATTGACACCAGAAAATGTTTTTGATGAATTGGATAAAAATAAAACCGGGCAAGTATGACGAACAGTTATGAAATAATGATAAGAACTTATATTTCGTCAGTCACTAAGCTTTGGACAACAAAATTATATTTTAAAATAAATTTTGGCTACTTTCAGATGAGAACAATAATTTCTGACAATTTTCTCATTTTAAAACTTAAAAAAAAACTAGTGAAAGGTTTACTGTTGGTCACCGCTTATATCCTTTGCTGCAATATTTATGTATCAAAGATAAAATAATATCCAGAAACAAACAAGCAAACAAAAAAAAAAAGAAAAGAAATTGGGCAAAGAAAATATATAGCCATATATATTGTAAAAGCTAAACAAGGACTTAAAAATGTAAAGAGATTTTTCTTAAGGTGACAACAGACACTTTTCGTGGTACTCACATAAATGTCATTTAAACCAACTTTTTTTAGTAATAATTGTTATTTATTTAATCTTTGTGCATTAAATGTCGTTGATCATCATAAAAAATAACATATTTGAAAAAAATGACTTTGTAAATAATTGATTTTTAATAAAATTCCAAAATTTTTAAATCGTCATATCAAAGTCATTTTTTATTTTTTTGTCATCAAACTTTTGGAAAATAAACATACTTATAATATCTGGGGAACCGTGTCTCAAATTTTTTCTATCTTTTCTCAAAAAGATATTACGTAACGTCAAACATTTTATGCGACTTTTTCACCATACATATTACGTAATTAAAGATAATTAAGCCGCTGATTGAGCAAACAAAAATCCCTGACACGGTTCCCGCCGTAAATGAATTTTCTTTCATGTGCTTTAAACCGCATGTTAATTGCTTGATTATTAAAAAAGTTATGCCGATTCAAAGTTAGTCCGACCCGCATCAAACGAAGTGTCATAAATCGGCTGTTCTCTCTCGGACCCCTACGTTTCACGCTAAATAATTGCATAATACACAAATATCGCACCAGAGAGGGTCACAAATTGCGGTAACATACTCTAACAACATTTTATGACCCAGTGACATCTGACCAATTAAAAAGTTGCTGATTAATATCAGTTTATAACAGAAATTTCTTCAAATCTTAACGTGATTTACCGTCCGTCTGGTATCGGTCGCACATGTCACGTGACTTTCGGTAAAATTTGAGGCACTCGGTGGGGGGAAATGGATCGTATTTGCGCACCGCTAGCGGGGTATTTAATTGTTTCACTTTTGAATATCATCAGCATTATTATTATATTATACCAGTGTCACTCTGTGTATTCGTTTATGAAATTCCGTTAAAATATAAATTAAAATAACAAAAAACTGAGCTTCTGACGGTCTTTTAAAGTCCATGGTAGATGTACAAATAAGAACGGGATATTATATATTTTTTCCTCCAAATTGATATAAATGCTTAACATATTTTTATAGAAATAAAAGGTATCACTCGATCATTATGATCTGACCTTCTTTTTACTTCTATTATCATGAATATCATCTATGCATCTAAGCACGGCATAGAGATCCAGTTTCTACTGGGATATACAATAAATTCTTTACTTTGTCCCAGGTTTATTAGTACTGTGTTCGATTTACTGGCGAACAATTTATTCAAACCATTTACTGATAATATATTTTATTATCTTTTTTTATTGATTCATAGAGAAATAATCATCCTTAGACAACCTAAAATGGTTTAGAAATTTGTCAGGGACACCTTACCACAAGTACCACAAGTCATATAGGCGTTCACATAAAAAATGTTGTCTGTTTTTGTTGTTGTTTTGTTAGAAAACGAGGTTGAATGTAAAGCAAGCCCTTGAATCCGTACAAAGTCCATAAACTCAATGTAATATCTATCAGATTAACGGGACAGACAAATTATTTTCACACATTATGGATATTTTAGCAACTATATTTTTAATCAACCCCGTGGTCGTGCGATTTACCGCTATGCTTAATTATTTATGTTTCATACATTATGTTACGTACATTGGCCGTCAATTTCTTATTTTATAAAAAAGGCTTAATAAAAGGTAGACGATATTCGGTATTTGTACGGTACATGAATTACGAGTAGTATGGACCAGTATGGACCGGTAATTCACGTATATATGGAACTACCGATTTCCCTTATTGATGCCTCAACAGGGGGCGGAGCGTTATTGATAATTGACAGGTTACGCGAATAGCAGATAAAAAAGGTACAGGTACCGTTTTAAAACGTTTAAAAACACATTTTTTGGACTAACTGCTTCCAAAATTAAATCACGAATGTGTTCAGAAAAGATGGATAAATATACTAAGCAAAAAATCTCATCTCATTTTAGGTATTTTCAGTGATAATTGACTCCGTTGTCACCTTAAGGCATGAGCTTTTGTCACTGTACATCAACGTTTACAGTATCCCATGAATGGAATTACCTCAGAGTAAATAACACTAGATGGACGTTATCGTTAGTTTATGTATACGATAATTTACCATTTGTATGTAAGATTTATACTGGATTGTGCTGAAATTACCATTAAATGAATGAATGATTTTTCAATATACGAAACGCTATTACGTCTAGTTTTGTAAATGTGTCTTTTTTATAATGTATGTTTCATAAAAACGATGACACTTGTTTACTTAAGGAAAGGCACAACTAGTATATATTTCAAACAAGTTAGGATAACCACTTGAACGACGTATTTCATTTTTTACAAATATTACTTCTTGCAGGACAGTGTCAATAAAAGATTTAGAAGAGTTACTGAATATGCATTTTAAAACTCAAAAGGTTAGTAACGTTTTCTGATAAAGTACACTGTATCATATGAAACAGAATGTATAATTGTAGACAATATTACTGAAAAAATTGTGTATTAATACATGTACACCTGAATAAGGCTGGTGTACCTTTTTCTGCATTAACTTCTGCAGAAGCAGGAGGACAAATTAAATGCTCGAGTCCAAAGTCGAGGCATTGATGGCTTCTAAAGATGTTAATGCACGAAAAAGATGCACGAGCGCTATACTTGCATTCCGCATTTCATTATCTATTTTTTCGTATTCAGAAAAATCGGTTTTGTTATCCGTTTCACGTGCTAGTGCGATGTCACTTGAGAGGAATGTTTTGATAATGAAACTTCCTCGCACGTTATTGTCTGTAACACGCGCCCGATACAGGACAGGCATATTAAATCTATTCTTTGATAAAAAATCTCACATACAAGTAATACAAAGTAGAACCTGGTACAGTCTACAGATGATTTAAAATTAATTGTGATTGAAAACTGGAAATGTAAAACGTGCTACAACGGCCGTTCCCGCGTAATTTTATTCGTTAATGTTTTATTATCTTACGTTACCTCGTAAAGCTAAAAATCTATTTTAACTTAATCAACCGGTGCCTTAAATACAAATCAGTTCAGTTCAGGAACGGGGAAATATTCCAAATCAGCCCGAAACGATTACATAACGTGGTTTCGTTCATCTAAGCGTCCTTTTTTAAATACAAAGCTTACAAAAGCCAAAGTGATTACTGTACCATATTAGAATGCTAATTTTAAGCAGTCAAAAATAATATAGGTTGGTAAAGTTGTGAACATGGGAAGACAGACTGGCAATTGCAAGTCACTTTTACCTCTAGGGATCTTAGAATTCGGTTTTCTACAAAGTGATAAACCATATGAAAACAGATTTGTCTATAAATGTCATGGTTAACTAATTCTTGTGTTCTATTTTGAATTTACAGAAAGAGATCGGTTACTTTACCGATGAAACATTAAATTGTTTGGAAGATCAAACTATTGAATTAGAGAAAAATGATACTTTGGCAGATGCTTATTCAAAACAGGTAATTATTAATATCAAAATTTTCAAAAGGCGGGCAGTTAATCAGTAACAACTCAAATAAATGTATTTAAACCCCCTCCCCAGCCCCACCCCACCCCCCAAAAGGGAATACAACAACAACAAAAACACAAACCAAAACGGGTAATCAACAAAAACAGTATCGTCATGAAATATATTTACATCTTTCAGAACATTACTTAATGAGTCATTTGACAAAGTAAATCATGTTTTAGACAGATAACACCAGCTATAATCTTTCTCAAAGTAGTGGTTCAGTTTATGTGCTTGAAAGCTTTCGTAACCGCCTCCGTGGTCGAGGGGTTAGAGTCGATGACTTCTAATCCAGTTACCTCTCTGGCGTGGGTTCGATCCCCGGGAGATGCTTTGGTAGTTTAGCGCGGAGGAAGGTAGTCTAGTACTGGTGTAACTCTCCAGGAACGATGATTAGGAAACTACCCGTCTATATGACTGAAATACTGTCGGGAAAAGGCGTAAAATGAAACAAACAAACAAAGAAAAGCTTTCGTGAAGATCTTCTGTACAAACAGGTTCTATGGTGGTAATCTATGGTGGTAATCTATGGTGGTAATGTTCAGATATTTGGTGTATGACATACAGAGGCACTTGCACAATTAAGTAGATACTTGTTAGACTGAATGGTATACTTTACATTGACATTTTGAGGGAGAAGGAACTATACTATGCTTTAAGCGAACTGTTAGACCAAAGAAATGATAGTTATCTTTACAAAAGATTATATTGTCCATAGCAAATAGAAAATGTTTTTTGGAGTCAATGTTGGTACACTAAGTAGCAGATAGTGCTAACATGTTTTTATAATATTTCTTATGAAATTAGTGAATGTTAATCATTTGATTTTTTTTAAATGCTCCTACAATTTTGGGAGAGCAGTAAATGTATTTCTGGTTGGCCTTGTATACTTTAATTTACATGCATTAGGCCATTGTATTATTTCAGTAGAAAAGTTTTACAACAAACTCTATTCATTTCAGATGTTAAAGTCAACATTTTTAAATTGTCCAAACATAGTTGATTATATTAGAAGACAGGGGATATTAAAACCAAAATACAAGTAGGTGGCGCTTTTAAGCAATAAATTTGATTGATTTATATACAATTAAAAATGAATGATGTATGATTAATTGTATTGTAAAAATGTAAAGGTTTGTACTGTATTGTCGAAAATAATGAGCTTCTAACAGTTACTAAACATGTCCCCTCAACTAACATCATATTAGGAAGTCATGTTGGATAATTGAATCTGTATATTTATTAATGTCAGTATGATGAAATAGTATGAATGCTTTATAACATTGGAACAATCATGTGTTTGTTTATCCTCTTCTAGAATATTGTCAATGACAGCATTGGTTTTGGCATAAATGATGACTATGAGTCTTTTGTAGAGTTATATCTTTATAAGTTTAGGAAATAAACTTTGAATATCGTAACATATTGAATTATCAGTAACAATGTAATGTATTTTTATCGAATAAAATAAACATAAATGACCTGTTAATAAATGGATTTACAATTGTATAAATATCGAAAAAGCTTCGAGCAATATATAATATCTCTGATAATAAGTCCTGATCTCTTTTACAGATATACGTTAGATACAGATAATAATTACTACTTTGTCATGATCCGCAATATACTTACAAAAGCAAGATGGGATTTAAACAAAATCACGGACAACCCAAGGTATTTATGTTAATAAACGCTTCATCAATAAGCTATATCATGAAAGCAGAATCATTCACATTTCAAAATTTATTTATTGAGGACTCTGTTTGATTTAAACTGTCCATGGACGGTACTGTCAATAGCAAACTACCGTCCACATCCCCTAGCACCGGCTTAAGCAATATTCAACATTGAAACATGTACTGGTAAAAGTTTGAATTTAGACACATCCGCAGATGTACTCAAACGTCGGTAATCATGGAACCTTCAATGTGACACTTTTTTAAGCCAATGGAAGACGACAAGGACAATAGTTTGTATTTAACACTACTAATGTGTAGGCTCAATCATATGAATATCTGGAAAAAGTGATTCCTCGGAAGCATTAAAAAAAAGCAAAATTACATTTTGGCATTTTCAATATTATTTGTCATTTTGGGCGTTCATTGGATATTCCTTTGATATTCCGTTTTTTTGTCTATCTTATAACATCTTATTGATAATATCGTAATGAACAAGTTTCAAAATTAATTTAGGAAATTTTTACACTTACCAGATCAAATTATTGGCAATTGTGAAATCAAAATTTGCAAATAGTAATTGACTTATCGATGGTATTCTTTTAAATTAAATTTAAAAATTTACAATTTAATTTTGATAACGTGTAAATAACTAAGGGGGGAGGGGGTAAAAGTTGCAAAGCCGAGTTTTTTTAACGTTTTTGTATTGTAACGTGAAAAAAACAACAAGAAAAAAAGTCTTCAACTTTTATTTCACCTCTTTGTTTTTGTTTTCGTAAAACAAAATTCTTACGATAATCAAACTTAAACCAAATGTAAAAATATCTGAAAAAAGTGATCCATGGGCAGCAATAAAATCAGCAAAATTACAGGAAAATTCATTCTGTATATGAGGGGAAATGAAGTGCAACATCCCTCATGTCCTCTCGCATCAACTTTCAACACTTAAAAGTACTGGAACCAATGATCCAATAAAACCATATTGTAGTCAATTCATCATTGCAAATTTTTATATCAAATATGCCAATAATTTGCTTAAAATAAATATAAACATTTCTGTAAGCGAGTGCACATTTTATTTTCCAACTCGGTATGTAATTAACTACTGTCGTTTTTATTTTGTTTCGTTTCAGGAAATTTATTGCTATCAATGATAACATGGATCACAGCAAAATGATAGCGACGGCGGTTGAACTTGAATTAAACAACTTTTATGAAAGATTATTTCCTACCCCATCACAATATGAACTTCAAGTGACTTGATGTCGGCTTAACTGGCAGTTAACAAATAGATAATTTATGAAATTCTATGACTTTAGCCTTTGAAATGAAGCAATTTCAAAAGTTTAATTTTGAACTGAAAAACATGTGATCAGTGCAAGTATCGAAAAGGTGTGACATAACGAATACTGATGAAGGACCTTAAAATGATGCTTACAAAATGGTACACAAACTATGGTATGAATATACAAAGCTGGACGATTCGCTAAATTTATATCACAGGACAAGAAATATTTAGTTGTATTAAACTGCTCAGTCCTCATATTCTAATTAACTATTATTAAGTTTTTTTTGTCTCTAATTCCGGCCAAATATCCCGTAGTATCTCAAATATCCTTAAGTTTTCCTAAAAAAATTTGACTATTATCCTTTCTCAGCATTAGCAAACGGTCACCCGTAGCTAGATAACCTATTGTTGTGCAGCATAAGTTACAAATAATATATGTTTTAATAACAGATGTCAAATTAATAATTATGTAACCGGAAGATTAAATATGGCTTTTCCTCTTTGTCCAATGAACAGTGATAAAAGTTTTATTATATTTAGGTGATAATGTCAATTTAGCCGTCTGTACTTAATAAGTTGTTAAACCTTATTACTGATAAAATGTCCAGGTGATGATTGTTGTTATAAATTCTATGTTGCTATGGTACATTATTTTGTATTGAGACCTGATTGGTTATTTTGTTATTTAAGAAACAAAGATGTTAAAATTTTATTGGTCTGTTTAATACGAAACCATTTTTAAAATACTGTAAAGAGAAAAATCAAACAGTTAGATTTTGGATTTCCAAGTGATAACGTTGTGGCTCTCCACTAGAAATAATTATTACTGTTTTTAATATTAATTTGTAAACATCAGGATAACCTGTGTATATGTTATATATTATCTGTGGTATTCCACTAAGAAAGAAGCATTAAAATATAAAACGGAAAATTGTGTTGTAATTCAATCCACCTTCAGTAGAACCATAATTCAGCGCATAATACTATGACCGTGTGTCTTGTGCGTTGCCTCGTTGCACTTAAAAATTTTGCCATAGGCATATGTAGCAATGTTTATGTTGTTAATGTTTATTATAAATAAATATCTTAGATATTTACAGGAGTTGCTTTTTGTCTTAATTTGCTAAGCATGAATAAACACAATTGACTGCCGACTGGGTTACATCGGCACATACAATTCGCTAATTTTATAATACTGACTATTTGTAAGCAAATATAATCTGACCGTGGAACATGAATCCCAAGTCAGAATGTTATCTTTATCTATAACGAAAAAATTGCTTAACAAAAATCTTAATATATTTAATAGTTTAATGGCATGGATTGATATAAAAGTTAGATATAATTATGACATCGTTTCATATTACTTAGAATTAAAATTATAGGTAATTTATGTACTGAGGTATGTCATTTACGCTGAAATATATATATCCAAATTATATTAGGCTCGCTTATTTAGTACTTTTTTAGAGATATACATCTAGTAATAAAATGTTTTTATGAAATGGTGAATGAATATCTTTTTCACAATTTCTATTTCTTTATTTTTATTTTAAAGTAGGATGAATAACAATATTTTGGAAGTTTATAAATATCTCAACTAAGGTCAAACATAAAATTTTAGGATCTAACGAATATCAAATGAAACACTTACATTACTAAATTACACAAAGGATTACAAAGAAGTATATTCAGAAATAAATTGACATCGATTTTTGTACAATTCTTGGCCGATCTCGAGCGAAAGGCGTTGCAACGTTTTTCATTTGGGTCCTTTGTACTATAGAAATGGTCATTGTGGAAAAACGGAAAGAGTAAATAAGCTGAAAATGCACGCACAAATAATTGGTCCAGACCTACATCAAATGAAACTATAATCTCGGGGAAAGTATTTCCAGTCCTATCATGTAAAAATACCTCAGTGGAGTCCCTTTAAAGTAAACGATTAAGTAAACACGAGGGGATGTTGATGGCATCTTATTGCATCAAGAGGAATGAATATTCATAAATATATGGATATTGTACAGACATACATGACATGTTTAATTGTTTCTCGTTCGATATTTAGGCATAGCTTTATTTTATATTGTAAAATATTTTAAGAATATGTCTATCTTTAATTTATCAAAACGCAAAATATTTAACATGAAAGGTTGTGTAGAACTGCCAAATTTAATATACCACAGCTCACATGGCGGGTTTTACATCTCTACCAGTGATGGAAGACCTAAAGTGTCCTCACTCCAGGTAAGTAATAGAAAGAGCACCGAAACACGAGGCTATCTGATTTGTACGAGGGGGCGTAGCCCCCGAGTATAAATCAGATTGCCGAGTGTTTTGGTGTTCTTTCTCTTTTGTATCATAGTCAAACATAAAAGCACGTTCCCTGTTGTCACAATATGAAACCCCGGCAAAAATGAACCAATGAACGAACATCTGAATATGACAGTTTGGTCGCTTTCCCTTTCTCTGCCGTCACAATATGTAAACCCCAGCAAAAATGAGCCAATCAATGGGCATGCTCTGGAGTGCGGGTAACTAATACCCGCACTCCAGTTAACGTACTGTGCATGTATATGTATACGATTTAACCCTGACACATTTTCAACAGAAAGGTCTCCAAACTATGATACAATTAGAATTACCGGCCGGCCATAAACTAAATGAATAGTTTTCCCATGCTATGATTTGAACCTTCAGCGATGGGATGAGGGCAAGTTATTCTAAATCAGCGACCTCAACCACTTGACAACGGACACCGTCTGGAAGTTGTGTAACGTGTACCGAGCGGATGTACAACGAATATATAATAAATTTTTCTTTGGGCTACCTGCCGTTTGATTAGATACAAATGATTATGAAATTATCATATATCATAAACAATCAGCTTTAATTAATACTCCAAAATACACTATTAAATTCTAAAAAGTCTAAATATAGTAAATATCTTTACAATATAACACAATGAAATAATTCAAAAGCTATAGATATCACGGCTGCAACCCGATAATTTCCTATAGTCCAGTAACTACCTCCGCTATCTATGAAGCGAGGCTTCTATTTAGATAGAAAGATAAGCTGCTGGCAGGGATTTGACAACAAAAGTTCCAACTATACAAAGCTTATTCGTTTTAAATCTACCTCTGGATTTTTAATACCTATATGTTACCAATTTCCTGATAGCGAGGCTTTCAGGAATGTGGAGATCTATAAGTTCCCAGAGTCAAATACAACTTCACAACTAAACTATAACGACACTATATCCATGAAGCTAGGCTTCAATTGGATAAACAAGGTATTTAGTTTTGCCAATTCTTCTTTTCTACCCATGAAGCTAGGCTTCAGTTAGGTATAGGCGAAATTATCCTTTATGTATGAAGCGAGGCTTCAAATTACATAAAGTAACCTGGTCCCGGTGAATTTCCTCTGCAGACTGATTAATTTTGCTCTAATCGCCGTATTTATACCTGCTGAGATGATCGCTCAAGCATGACTTATTTTTCATTGGCTGATTAAAATGATCACTATCACTGAGACGATTATTATATTATATGATATAAAAACGTTTATTGAAAATACGTATACTAAACGTATATTGTAAAGTACCGTAAACTAAAATACATTGTCGCAACATAAACAATTAACATAATAGTAAAGTTACAGCTAAATCATTTCAGCAAACGATAATCTTTAATAAAATCTAGCTTGGTAAAAATGTCAAAACGTTACACTAACCACGCCTCCGTTTTACATGCGCCCCGCATGAAACTTACAAAATATGTTTTAAGCTGCCTCAAACAATTAGATTTGGCATACACACACTTCCGAATCTCATTTATAATTTATATTCCAGAACTATGTATTCTTCTACAGTGCTGTCTTATATAAGCTTTCTTTTTAAATTTCATTCCACAAAAATGACAAATCAACGCGCGGTTACAGACCAATCGGACCTTTACAATTTATTTTCATCTTTTTTACCATTGGCTGTTAACTGATTATTTGGAACAATCTATTACAATATTTCTTGCTGTCATAAAATCTAATCCTAATATTGCATCTCCCTCTATGTTAGAAACCTAATAAAAGGATTTGTCGATATTTATCATTCCAACTTGATATCTAAATTAGTCCTACCGTTTTAATTTCTAAAAGGTTTTCCAGAGGCCTTTACAATGTTTTGTATTTAACGGTTCTAATTTACTGGAAACTGACATCTATCTATAAAACTTGAAGAAAATCATTGAAAGTGTTGCAGCCCCAAGTATCAATTAAACAATTAGCTTGATGCCATTGTTATTGTATGCTTCAACAAATAACCCTGAACCACACGAATTTAGACAATTCTTCACAATCTTTTTCTAACACATTAATTTTGTCGTTTGAACTACTAATGAATTTTCGACAATTGTATTTATTATGACGCTGCCCGACCGGCATTCATAGCAATTCCAAACTATTTGTATTTGACCTTTTAGGAAATGTTCTTGAAGACATGCTTTTACTTTGATTTCGCAGGTTTTCTTGGTTTCTTTTATCAAAAGTTTGATAGTTATTTTGGCGTCGAAACATTGATAACATATTCTTCATTTCCTCTACTAATTTAATCAGGCTATCTAACTTGTCATCTTGACTTTTCGGACTATCATATTCGTCAGAATTTAATTTTCTCATGTTACTAAGAGTTTCATGGGATTTTCGTTCTGCTCTGTTGAAAGCCTCAAGCTCAACAGCGTGTCTTACTGCTTCATTCAAGCTTGTAGGACGAGCTTGTTAAATTTCTAAGCCTCATATCCGAGTTAACCAAGAGAATCTATGAATTGTTCTTTCGCTAAAGATTCTTTCACATCTGATGTGCTGAAGGGTATGCTAAATTAGTCAAACGTCTTATGTCCTGTCCCATCTCAGACAAAGATTCTGTAGCTTTTTTGTCTTCTTTCTCTTAGTTGAGCTCTTTATATAATTCAGTTGATTGAGTGGTGAAAACCTTTCTTCTAAAGCTAATACAAGTTCATCATAATTTA